GTTTAATTAGTTAGATTTATTGGCAACAAGTGATAAAATATAAATAATTTTTAAAAATATAATTTTAAATTTTGGAATTTGTAATTTGGATACATTAATCGGCCACTTTTTCATTGGTCTATATTAGTATCCAGTGAACAATTCAGTTTGTTAATTTAAATAATAAAAAAAGGAACTTCAAAATATTTTTTTTAATAAGTGTGTTCTTTTATTTTCCTTCTTTTTCTTTTTTTTATGTTTTTAGACAATACCTCTAAAATAATTCCTCAAATGTTGAAAAATTGATACTACGATGTCAACCTATTTTAGAGCTTTTTTTTTTTGTTTTAAATATTTTTTTAGAATACCTCTATAATATTATATTTTATACAATTATCAGTGTGGATCTGGAAAAATTGATACTTTTTCTCTATTCTGGTCTTGGAATCATATTATTGGATTTAAATAATTATTTTTATGTAATGTGTTTATTATTTTACTTGAGACACTATCAGACAGAACCCATACTGGCTGATATTTTTCCTCTGTTTTTATTTTGATATTAAACTATTGACATAATACTACATTGAATATGGTTATGTGTGTATATTGATAGTTATTTTGGTGTGGAATGGTTTGGAACTGTTACGTCTAAAACACCTGTGTGCAACTTAGGTACAAAACAAAAAAATAACTATACAGCATTTTTCCTTGTTAAACAATAATCATAAGAATTGACGAAAATTATAACTTATACTAATATCAGTGTGGATCTGGAAAAACTGATACTTTTTCTCTATTTTAGTCTTGAAATCATATTATTGGATTTAAATAATTATTTTTATGTAATGTATTTATTATTTTTGACTTGAGACACTCAGAGAGAAACCATACTGGTTGATATTTCTTCTCTGTTTTTATTTTAATATTAAATTATTGATATAGCTCTACATTCGATATATTTATTGTATATGTATAGTTATTTTGTTTTGGAATGGTTTGGAACTGTTACATCTAAATCACCTATGTGCAACTTAGGTACAAAACAAAAAAAATAACTATACATCAGTTGTCCTTGTTAAAATATAACCATAAGAATTGGCAAAAAAAGAATAAAAGAAAATATTCAGTTAAAAAAAACTGATATTAATTTTATATCTGTGGCAACTTTGTATAGAAAAACACTATTGAAAGTTAGGAATTTTCACATGTGCAAGTTCAATTTTAAAATTTCAACCTGTGATTCACAAAGAAATATTAATCTCTGTTATATCCGCATAACTCAGCCCATTAGACACAAAGTTAGCTTTCTGGTGATATCCTTAAAAATTCACAAAATTGCACTAAACACACTTTTTACAAGTGCTACAGATATATAAATATTAGATTAATATTAGTTTTGTCCTCACTAATTTTCATTTGTTTTAAATGCTTTTCTTTAGCCCATATCAAATACATTGTATTTAATATATTGTTTGTTAAATATTTTTATATATTAGCGGTATAAACTTAAAATATTTTTTTTTTTTTTATGAATGAATAATATTTTTACAATGTGAACTAATAACTGTAATTTTAATTTTTCTAGAATAATAAAAGTGATTTATAAACTAGTAAACAAATTTTGAACCAGTTTGAAAATAATTTAAGAATCTTTTTAAGTGAAAACAAGGCTGTAACAATTTCTAAAAGTTCAATTTTATCTGGTTCAGGATCTTTAAAAGTTTAGTTTAAACTTAAATTGAAAAACATATTTATTATTTATCAATTCATCAATAAAATATTAAAAGCTAAATAGTAATCCTTCTGCTGTTTTTGAAAATAGGTTTTCATCAACAGTGCCTTAGTTTATGGTAAGTTGTAGCAGATTCTAAATTTAACTATCAATAATGGGACTGAATCAATAATTTAGATTCATTAATTTATTATTTTGAATACCTTCAACACCTACAGTAAGCTTTTTTACTTTACATTTTATTGCTTAACCTTGAAGGAAAGTATTTTAATATTAATCAATACATTAATGAATGGGTAAGATTTGTTTTTAATTTAAAATTATAAAAAGTATAAAGGTCATAATAGGATATAATTTAAAAACCAAAAAATCTGAACCATTAATGGCATAAAGCAAATCTATCAATAAAGCTACATTTTACAGGAGACACTAAAATACTACTCATTTTGAAAAAAATCCACTTATGCATAATATAATACCAGTAAAATAAATGATGTATTTTAATTTAAATATCACACATTCAAAACTGAAGGGTTTTAAATAGTTGTGTATCCTATAAATTTAGTTTTTTGGATAGATAAATCCTTGAGGGTGTTAAAACTGCCAGAGGATTGTTCATATTGGATATGTTAAGGAACAGGAAGCAGATGTGTGTAGGGAGTGGAAAGGCTCTAGTGTTGAATTAGGGCCCTACATAAAGCTAGTTATGGCTCATAGAGGTAGGGTGTTTCCTGTTAACAATCAGTAATTTATATTTATGAAAAATGCTAAAGAAGATGAAGAAGATTAGTTTAAATTTCAAAAGTAATGTATATAAGTAAAAAAAAAGAAAGAAGAGCAATTTTTTAACTAATCTATTGAATTATTATTGAATTGAATTGAATTATTTAACAAAGTTGAAAAATAAAAGTAGTAAAATCTACGTTTCTTTTGCCAGTGAATTATTTGTGAGGTAAACATTTTATTACAGGCATTGCAAATCAGTGATCTGTAGTATATGTTCATAATTACCTTAAAAATATTAGAGCCTTAAGTGTTTTCTATCTATTATAATGCCTATTTTAAATTTTGGTTCTTTGTTAGAATGAGAATGAGAAAAAAATTTATTCTATATTTTTCTTTCTTCAGAATAGTAAAAAACTATTTAATTTTCTTTTACTTGCAAATTTATTTATACAATTTATTCATTTATTACAATTCACAAGTTAATACTACTTTTTATTTACAACTTATTTTTATTTCATTTTAACATTCATTTCTCCAATGTTACAAATGGAAAACCAATTACATAAGGCTCTTCAGGGGTGCCCATCTCTCCCCTCCTCCTCCCCCCCCCCAAGGTCGATGGCGCAAGAACGTATTCCTCAACTTCCAAGAGATATTTTTTATTGCTCATCTTTTCTTAAAAACAGAGCAAGCAAAGGTAGAATTAGAAAAACCGGAGATCATATACAATTATACTTGCTGCTCTGCTGTCTGTTCCATGTTTTCACCTTGTCTCTTGGTATGGAACTTTTCATAACCTCGCTGAAATGTGTCTCCCATAAAAATGCTGATGGCATAGGTTGCACCATCAATCCCCCTGAGGCTCTGAAATCCAATCTAGATCTAAATTTTTTACATTAAATATATCTTATCATTTTTTTTTTTATTATAATTATCTTTATTAAATGGAATAGTTGTCAGGCAATGTAATGCCTCCAAATAAGATTGTGTTATACTTTTTATATTTATGGATCCTAATTTTATATTTCTTCATGGGTGTACATTAAGTTAAATAAAATAAAATTTATTTTTTCGGGATTAGTAACAACAAACCAAAGATTGACAATGAAGCAAATAATATTTTTTCATTGCTGGCTTCGAGAAAAAAAAACTATTTTTAATTTTTATTATTGAAATCAGAAGTATCAATTCAATACAAGAATTCCTTATCCTTGAATTCATAAATTCATTTTGCTAAGGAGTGAGATAGTCCAGTGGATGAAACTGGTCCCCGTTACTGAATGAAGCTGGCCCCCGTTACTGAATGAAGCTGGTTTCATAGCTGTTCTAGTTATTGTTTTTTAATTTTACTATTTTTATTGATGTATAATAGAATAGTAAAAGTGAGTTAAATTAGGTAGTTTAAGGTAATCGAGTAATGAAAATCCTAGTACATAAAAAATGTCAATAACATAAAAACATGTGCAGAATACAATGATAACTGTGTAAAAGTGATAATGAGTGATTAGTAGTCACGGCTCATTAATTTTTTAGTAAGTTTTACTGACTATCTTTCAAGCCAAATATGTGGGCCAATAGGATTGAAAAAAACAACATAAGAGATATAAAACTAATATAAGTATTAATGGCTAATGAATATAGAACCAGCATAGCTGAATAATGGTGAATAAGATGGGCGAATACTAAAATGACTGACCAAGTTTACATTGCAACGGTAATTAGTCAATAATTTTAGTTATTGCAATTCACCATTATGGATTCACCCATCTTATCATCATCATCACAGGTATGTAACTATAACATGTAAGACATGTAACTAAAACCAGTTACAGGTCTTCGCCTCCATTCCTCTTTGTCTTGTGCAATGGTCTGCCAAGCTCTAATGTCCAGAAGTCCCATCTTTTACTCTGCATTATTTACCACTTTATTATTATCAGCTTTTATTTATCCTCATTGTCTAGTTTCAAATATATAATATTATCCAGTTTTTCTGGTTGTTTATTTTATTAGTTATTAACACTGCTATTTAGACTAGAATAGAAAAGTAGTTTATACCTTCACGAGGTAAGAAAATTGTGAAGGTGTTTCGTTTAAAATATTTCTATAAAATTGATACATAGTCTCAATCGCCGCTTTGAACAGTTAAATTTGTTCTATAGAAAATTAATAGGTTTTGTCAAGTTGAGGATTGTTGTTTGACATATATTTCATGGCTCTCGTTATAGAAAAAAAAAAGAAATGACAACTTTTATTTGGGGTTACATTGGGCAGTGAGAACAGATTATCGATACTTTCTTACAGGAATATACCAAGTCATTTCTACCAGTACTTGGTCAAGACCCTTGTGTGACATAATTATTTTATTTTTTACTATCTAAATTATAATGATTAACACCTCAATTATATTAAGTACAACAGAATATAACAATAATTTGTTTATTTATTATTAGTTAGCACAAGATTTTAAGTTAAAGTAAGCTTAAAAGCTTATTATTATTATTATTGTTAAATTTGCATTTTATTTATTTATATTAAAAATTTAATATGCATGTTACTTCAGGATGTTGGGATGCGGTGGACTAAAGAGCAAGGGGCCTCACCCGAAGCCAAAGAACAAGAAGAAACATCCTCCAACGCTCTGGTAAGTTTCAGTTTAGATAACTATATCAATTTGTGATAATATATCATTATGAACATGAATATATTAATTCTATCATTAATTGTAATAATATTCATAGGGCAATGATAGGGGGATGAAACTTATCAACCAAAACCCGATGTGCCACAGCACATCAACTGTAAATTCTAAACAGGTAAATTGAATTTATTAATTTAGGTTTAATTTAATTTAGTTTTTGCTTAATATAACTTACTCTCTTGTAATGTTCAGTGTCTTTAAGAATGAACCAAGGGAACAGAGAGTCAATTACTAAATCCTAAACATTACGTTCAATGTTTCTCCTAAAACAGGAATGTATTCGACTTTGTGTGGATAACAAAGCAGCAACTGCTTGGATATTGAAGTAGTAGGTAGCCTGCTTGAAAAAAGCAAAATTAGCAAATCAAACAAATATCGATTGTATGATTTTATTTATACAACTCTTAATAAAGGCTATTATGCTGGTATTAATTGATTTATTTAGGATTACTTAAGGAAGTTCTATAAATGTTAAAGATATGTTTCTCCTAAGTCTTATCTATTCAGAAAAAAATAGCCAAAATGCTCCATTGTCAACTAAAAGTAATATTTTTTTTCTGATTTTAATCACAATAAATTCATTTACATACATCAAAAAAATTTTAACTTTTATAGTTTCAATTTATTTTTAACTATAAATTAATATTTTTAGATAAATTATTAAATTTCCCAGAAGTACCATATTTGAATTTTTTTTTTTCAATTTTATCAACATCTTCTATGTATTAGTATATAAAAAAAAAAAATAATCTAGATATATGGTTCCACACGAGTTTATAAGGATAATACCTTAGTGAGAATTTCATCAATCCTCTCAATTTTAAGGTGCGTATACCTTGTTCTTGACTATTCTCTAAGAAGTCTCCTGTGTCGACTCATGGTTTGATTATCCTAGCCTAGAAATGCTAAATTCTTCAATGTAACATGTCCATTTACCAATATAAAATTTATTACTTGATGAATATAGATGTTGATCTTAACTATTAATATAGTCAGGCATAAAAATAATATTGTTTTTATTTATTTATTTCTCAAATAGCGGTTTTATCTAATAATAGATTTGTCACTTATCAGTCGATCATTTTAATTGCTTCCATGATAAAGATGGATCATTCATTGGTTTTATCATATTTCACAGTCTGTTCTAATTGTTTGGTGGGCTAAAATATACTGCTGTTTTATGTTCTCAGTTTTTATGTGAATATATTTAAGAAATGTAAATTCCTTATTTCGTTTTTACATTATTATTTATTAACTGATTTTAGATACAGTTTATTTCTATATTATATTTTATTTTCTTAATTAGTGAGAGTATATGGAAAAAAAAACATCTGAAAATTGAGATTGAGATGTATTTGTTAATAATCAGTCACTTTTAACTTTTGTTTTATTTATTTTTTAGATAAAACCGAAAGTTATTGTTTCATATTCTATAATATTTTAATCCATGTTATTATAATAAAATACTTTTTTTTTTATTACATAAACTCAGGTTTTTAATGCCCCTTAATGAATTAATAATAATCAGACTTTGCTGCCAACAGTTTCAGACAATGAATTCAAAAGTGTCATTGATCACAAACTGAAACTTTCGGATATTCAATACCCTATGGGAAGTTTTCTTAAGATCAGTGTTGGATAATAATAGATATTTTGGTACGAATCATCATCCAAATTTCTCTCTTAAAATTAATCAGTCCCGAGAATATCCGATTATTTCATCATTCAGTATTTAATTATTATGAAAATGACTTTGGATCTTGCTCTCTGGATTTAATTATCAATAAGAAAGATAAATAAAAAATTAAAACATTATTTTGAATGGAGGGTTTTGGTTTGTTGAATACTGAATATGATTTGTTAAATAATTTGAAGAAAGGATTTGAAATATCAATTAATAACTAGCCTGGAATAATTTTTTGTAAGAATCCACCTAAAATCAAGATTGCATAACACACTTTTATATTAATTGTGTTTTATTTATTTTATAGAAATCTAATTTTTATTTTTATTTCTTGTTCTTATTTGATTAATTGTAAAAGTGACTGCTTTTATTTAGGAGCGTATTTATGTAAAAATATAATTTTGATGTGTAGATAGATTTCTTACTAAAACAATAAATAAAATGTGTGTTTTGTCGGCAGTGCATTGTGTACTTTTTCTGAAACTTTAAATGATAAAATTTTGTTTGTAATTGATTATAAAATTAAGTTTTGGGGTTAATTTAATTGTGAATGTTAACTCCGTCTCTTCATTGATTAGGGAACATGCGATGGAGGCCTGAGCTATAGTTATAGCTACAGCAGTGAACAACTCGGAACTAAAGTGGAAATAGTATACAATTTGTTGTCTATGCTTGGTACCCATGACAGAGCTGAGATGACTTCTACACTTCTTGCTATGAGCAGTTCTCCGGACAGCTGTAGGGCTATGAGGCAGTCGGGTACCTATTACTTGGTTTATCAAACTATTATTAACTGTCTTCTCAACCATTATTCATAATCGCTATTTCCTCAGGATGCCTGTCATTACTCGTCCAGTTGGTTCATTCCAGTGGTGAAAGTAGCGTGGTTCGTGAGAGGGCTGCCCAGGCGTTGAGAAACATGGTTCTGTGCCACGGGGATGACAGGAGAGGTCGTCGTGAAGCAAGAGTTTTGAGGCTGCTGGATCAGATAATTTCTTATACCGATGCACTTCATGATGATCCTCAGTCCCATGCTGGTAAGTTCATCATTAAACCCATATTTTAAGTAAAATCGCAGGTATTTTTTCTTAATACCCAGATAGATGTCTGTTTGATTTTATTTCTAATAAATTTTCTTTTCTTAAACAGAGGAAGGTCACCCTGGACCAGCTATTGCTGCTTTGATGAAACTGTCGTTCGATGAAGAACATCGTTTAGCTATGTGTCAACTTGGGGCTCTCTATGTTGTTGCCAGATTAGTGCAGGTATTTTGAATGATACAAAAGTTGAGTTTCTGTCGTAAATAATTGACAATTGCTCAAGTACTATTATGATTTAATTAGAAAAAGTAATTATTGTTGGCTCTATGAAACAAATAATTACTTCATTAAAATTGATAAAAACACTTTTAAACTGAGTATTGGCTTTTGATTTTTCATATTTGGGTTTAATTTTTCATCTGTTTGGTTTCATATTTGTTTTTTCGTCTGCTTATAAACATAAAAATTTAAAATATGGTCAAGGCTTGCCTAATTGTGATTTTAATTTCTATGCATCCTTTTTTATTCTCTTTCTTGTTTCTTGTTTAGGTTGAAGCTAGGTATAATCTGGATTGTTGTATAACAGTGAAAAGATACGCAGGTATGGCATTGACCAATCTAACGTTTGGCGATGGTAATAACAAAGCTTTACTGTGCTCGATGAAGCCCTTTATGACCGCACTTGTATCTCAGTTGTCTTCTTCGAGTGAAGATTTGACTCAGGTGATCTGTTTTTGAATTACTGGCTGTAAATTTATCAGCTATCAACTTATTTTTATAAATATTGTATATTTATATTTATTTTGTTTAAAATATTATTTTATTGAATATAGGTAACTGCTAGTGTTTTGAGAAATCTTTCGTGGAGAGCTGATGCTGCTAGTAAACAAGCCTTACGTGAAGTTGGTTCAGTACCGGCACTTATGAAAGCAGCAATGTCAGCGACTCGAGAGCCAACCTTGAAGTCTGTACTTTCAGCATTGTGGAACCTGTCTGCGCATTGTAACCTTAACAAGGTAATAATGAATAACAAGTTATTGTTATTACTTTATACTATTAGAATTTAAATTATAAATATAATCATTAGGTATCTTGAACCACCAAAATCATATCATTAAACTGAATTTTATAAGTATAAAGGTTATATCCTAAACGTTGATTTAGGTGGTTAAATTTTAAATACTAAACAAGACATTGTTGTTAAGTGCTTTGATTTTGAAATATGATTGTTGCTGCTTGAAAAATCATACAGCAATTGTATGCTCAATTTTCATTTTTTTATTTTTTATAAAATTAGATCTGAGTTTTGATATACTAACTTTAATAGATTAGAAAAATCCAAGGATTAAGATTAACATTCCTTTTTATAATTCCGAAACTTTAAAATCTGTTATGAATAAGATAATTCTTATAGAAATGGCAGTACTGTATAGTATCTTATAAGTAGGGTCTGGATCTGGAGAACTTAATTTTCCAAGGAATAGATTATAAAACTTAATTTATCAATTTAAAAAATATCTGAAACCATTCATTAAGAATAGTACATAATATGAAGTAGAATTTGTAGATTTTAAACATGAAAAATGTAAATGAGTATGGCAAAGCTGAATAGGAAACTTAACTAAATAATAAAAATAGTTATATTTTTATGAGAATTAATATGTATTTGCTTAATTTATTGAAAATATCGGGGGGGGGGGAGGGGAGAGGGGAAAGACTGTTTTTTTATAGTAATAATTCTTTTAACTTTTTTAGAGACCCATAATAGTCACTTTTTTCACAAAGATAAAAAAATTATTGACTATAGTTCATAAAACAAACTTTTCATAAAACATGCATAAGTTATATCTCCATTTCGATTTTCATTCTCACATAAAGAATATTACAAAAAATACATTTAATTAAAACAGGCTTGTGCCACTCAAATGGGTTTATGTGCTATTTTGATGATTCATAATGTACATGCCCCACTATAGGTAAACATGCTTTTATAAGTTGTTATACAGATAAAAATAAATTGTTTTATTGAGATTAATATAATTAACTCTTAAATCTATAGTTATAGTTGCTTTTATGCATTATAATAATGACACATATAAAGTTTCATTTATTAAATGTGTTTTGTATAAATGCAACTATAAGTTTTAATAGAAATATAAAATTGCTTAGTGGGGCTGTGCAATGCAACATGGCGGCCCTTTGGTTGACTAGGCTTGCTCTTTATGCCTTTGGAGTTAATATGTACTGATATAATCAAATCACTGGACGATTATTATTTTATTTGTTCTCTTTCCTAGGTTGACATATGTGGAGTTGAAGGTGCTCTTCAATATCTGGTAGAAATGCTTAATTATCAATCTACCTCTAAAACTTTAGCTGTTGTCGAAAATGCTGGTGGCATATTGAGAAATATATCGAGCCATATTGCTGTAAGAGAAGATTATAGGTAAGTTATAAAAGTTTTTATTTTAAGTTTCTTTTTATTTAACAGTATATAAACAGATATTTGCTTAGTTTTTTATTAGATTTGAAGTTTATCAATTAGCATTGGTATTACAATATTATATACTATAGTACAATGTCGCATAAACATAGCATAAAAACTAGAATATGTGATATAGGACACTTCACTTATTTACATCTAATGTTAGTTGAACTGACTAAATCAAAGTATGTTTTTATATTGGATGTTCAGCAGTTCGATGAACTCTTATAAAATAATCGCTATATTTACTTTTTTTTAAATATAGGAAGATACTTAGAGATGAGAACTGCCTTGCAATACTTCTCAGACAGTTGCAATCTGCCTCATTGACAGTTGTGAGCAATGCCTGCGGGACTTTGTGGAATCTTTCCGCTCGGTGTGGAACAGACCAAAGAACATTAGTTGCTCTTGGTGCAGTGCCTATGTTAACGTCTCTTGCCCATTCCAGGCATCGATTGATAGCAATGGGTGCTTCTGCAGCATTGAAAAACCTCTTGCCTGTGAGACTAGCACAGAATCATCATCATCAAGCCGCTTCTGGTAATTTTTATGTATTTTATTCATTAAACTATACATAAATAATCATTCTTCACTTTTTGTAAATATTCTTGATCATCTAATGGTTTATATTTATTCAATATAATAGATGGATTATTTTGTCTAAAAATAATCTTTGTTTTTCTTTACACAGCTTAGTCCGTGATACACTCTTTTTTATCAAATTATTAACATTCGCCTGAAACTTCCTGAATAGCCTCATCGTAACTTACAACTTTTTTGTTCACAAAAATCCTCGGATTGGAAAGTTTACAATCTAGAGATCAGCAAACTTTGTCTATTTAATTAGGTTCTCTCATGAACACCTAATTGCTTTCCACTTTTTTTTTTTTTTTTTTATTGAGTATTACTACAGTATGCCACTCTGAAGGGCATTGGTACTAGGGCTATAGTATTCATTCACACAATGTGTACATAAGAAAGGAAAAAAAATAAAAATAAAAATTAATATATATATATATATATATATATATATATATATATATATATATATATATATATATAAATAAATAAAAAGATAAAGTAATATACAAGATAAGTAAAATAACAGATTAGCTAAATAATAACAAAGTAAATAAAACACATTCACACCTATGTACAATATTTACATTGACCCAGGGGACTCCGAATCAAGCTTTGTCCCCCAACTGTGGAAGCCAAAGCAGGACCCCAGGAGATCCCAGTGCTTCTCTCCCAGCTGCGTCACTGGTATAGTAAGCCAGATTTCCACTTTAATCATAAAATAATTTGATCACAAAATCGATAAATGGTGCCCTACAAAAATATTGGGCCGTTTATCTCCACTCCCAACATGTCAAAATAGCATGGTTATATATGTCTAACGGCTCAATATTTTTGTAGACCGCCTTTTTTCTTTTCAATTTTGTGATCAAATTATCTTATGATTCAAGTGGGAAGTAAATGAGTATTTATTAACTAATTTTTTTTTTTCTTATGCCTTGATCGTCTTGAGCTCTTTCGGCCATGCGACGTCTAGCAGCCCAGTAAATTTTACTTTCTGTCCTGGCTTTGTTTCTAATGTCCTGTAGTCCGGAACATGTTAGTAGATGCAGAGCAGTCATGAATCCCTGTCAACACAGTGGACATATTGCTGAATCGACAACTCCAATACGATATAGATGGCTTTGGAGATAGTCATGTCCGGTTTTCATCCTGAACTGTGAAATGGCCTCACTAATTAGTTAGATTTATTAATTTAATGAGAAAACGCCTCATTTCTGAGAATTTTCATAGTTAAAAAAGGAAGAGGTCTGTACCACGGCCTATGTCATTCTTGAGGGACATTGTCCCAGAATAAAGTTTTTTTTTTTTTTTAACTTAATTTCTCATAATTTATTTTCAGGTGGTGCAACACTGTCAGTGAGAAAAAGGAGGGCTCTAGAAGCAGAGCTAAACTCCTCACTCTCAGAAACCTGTGATAACATAGAGCCGTGCCCTAACTGGGATTCCGAAAGAGAAATATTACCTGTCAGTCAGGTAATTAACATCAACAAATGTTATTTTGTTTTTTTTATATAGTTTTATAAACTATATATTTAAATATTTCTTTTATTTTTTGTAGGTAAAAGACAATTGTGATCAAATTAACCATTCTATGCAGCAGATGTCGCTGGAGGAAACTTCTGAATTACCAGTTAATTATAGCCTTAAGTAAGAAAACACACTAGCTCATGTAAAATTACCTTGCTTACTCCAGTTTCACATTAAGTATATAGATAACAACTTATAGCATATTATTTATTTTATTGAAGGAAGTTAGTCGACTTTTCTACATATCGTGAGAGATAAATATTCAGGACGCAGTCATTATAAACTTTTTATTAGTGCCGATATTTCAACCCAAACCTGTAGGTCATCATCAGGGCGTAGTTTGAGCACTGAAGGTGTTAAAGTACTTAACACCTTAGTAAAATAATGATTTTGTTGATTTTTTTAGATAAATTTATTAGTATGAAGTTGATCAGTGAATTTTATCAATGTTTATCTATGATTTTCATATAGTTAATCCTGTTTATTAATCATTATAATTGCCCTAACGATATAACAGGATGTATAAAAAAAAAATGACCATTTTCCACCAAATATTTGTATTATTATTTCTTTGATATAAAATACAATTAATTCTCTAAGTATAGTCCATTGCTAGCTACCTTCATTAGCCATCTGCTAGCCAATTTCTCAAAACCATTCTTTGGGATGGCTGTCATAGAACTCTAGGATCGCAATTTCACCATCTGAAAAAAAAATTATCAAATTTTTTCCCTTGAAGAAAATGGGCTATGGATCTAAATAAGTAGTAATCCGATGGTGCGAGGTCTAGACTATATGGTGGATGAGGCAGGAGTTCGAACTCATAAAGTTCTTTAAACTCTTCTTCACAAATTTCTAACCTCTTAGCTGATTTTTGAGGAGTAAGTTTGTGAGGGACCTATCTACTGCTCTTTTTCACTTTCCCCATGGAGATTATATGGCGACTAACAGTATCTTTCGACACACCACACTCCCTGGTAAGTTCACGAGTATGCATGGACAGATTTGACTTAACAGCTTCCTGCAAAACCTCGTCAATATTCATTAATGGTCGTCCAGATCCCTTCTTCCTTTCTAACGACGCCTCTCTACTGCTAAATTTTTCAAACCAACACTGTGCATTGCGCTTGCCAAGGGCACCTTTCCCTTCATATTTAATAATTTCACGGGTTGCTTCAGCAGCTGTGAAATGTTTATTTCAGTATTGCCTTAAAATTACGAAAATTTTGTAGAACAATATCATGTTTCTTCTTTGAAACCAATATCTAAACTGAAGCTTTTTTTTTAAGAAGTCGAATGGGATTAAACAAGCATTGAGAATAGTCTAAAGGGGTTATTAAGTATTAAATAGGATTAAGATATTTACAGTCCTTTAAATCTTGAATTTGATAAAACGGTAATTTTTTTTTATACACTGTTAATATAAATAGTAGATGAAAATTTAGTATAGATTTAAAGATTAATAATACTTAATGTTTCATCAAAAATCTCATATTTGCTCTTATTGGACTAAAATTAAATTTTATTTTGTATTATTTGAACTACTTATTTATTTAAAATCTTTTCTAGGTATTGTGAGAATGAAACCAAAGTCAGTGACTCTGACCATGATACAGTCAATTATAGCATCAAGTTCAAAGAAAACGAAACCGAAGAACCGAAGGTAATCAACTTTTATTTTTTATAGTTGTTGTCTAAGCATTTAGTAGTTTTATTGATCGCTAAGATTTAAATACAGTTGACTATTTCGCAGAAAAGTTCATTGTTGCATATTTTCTTGACAGCCCCATATAATTTTAATATTTAAACTTGGCTGTATTTCATATTTTGTTACTATTTTGCAGAAAAATTCATTATTTCACATTTTGTTAAAAAAATCCTGTTATTGTAATTTGTCTATTAACAATTAAATAGTAACATCATTAAATTTTCTGCTTTATTTTAACAAATAATTAAAATACAATCAAATAACAACTAAAGCTGTTGAATAGCATTAAAACAAGTACCATATATTTTTTATGCTTAATGCTTACTAGGGTGGTACCCCTATCCATCTAACAGCGGGCCAACTCCCATTTTACTAATTATACAACTGCTCATTTAATTATGTATGTGTTGAGCTCCTGTAACCACCTACTCTCCTAATACAAAATAAAGACATTAGACCCGAAATTCGTATGCAAAACAATAGATCGAATAATTGCCATAGGAGAGCATCACTATTGATCCTAGAGGACTGCTGAAAATTTGAGCGCTCTAAAATCCTACTCTCCTAATACTAAATAGAAATTTTTCCCTGGTGTCTTTGTTTGTCTACCTTTGTGTATGTAAAATAAAATATGACAGTCACTAAACTCCTTTTTATTTAATAGAGAGATAAGGTGTACTGATGAGAAGTTTGCAAACAAAGCAAACTTGACTAAATAAAAGTGAACTTGTCCTTGTGTGTGATATGGCGATTTTCATTCTTTAAACAGATTAATTTAATTATTAAATGCATTACCCTTAGAAAAACAAATCTGATATTGATTAAAACATAATAGATCAGTTTTTGACAACATATGACCCTAGATTCTTTGAAACTATTAAAATTAAAGATTGATCACTCAAAATCTCATAAAAATCCTAAGCACCAATTTACCGAACTTTACTCCATCTTTTAGATAGATAGTAAGAATACTTCATCTAAAAAATAGGCTATGGTCTGATTTGTAAGGGTATGAGATGAGTGCCTGGCTATACTTCACAGTGGCCTTTTATCAATTGATCTAGTATTTCTCTTTAATTTTTCATTTCCTTACTTACATAATCTTCATTATTGCTTATATATATTAATTCCCTATTTTCTTTAATTTAGAATATTGAGTTTATAAGAAAGTCTAATTGTATTTATTCCATATTTTCTAAATATTATGAAATGTAACTGCATTTCAACTATTATTAATTGTTTACAGGCTTATAATCCTTGTTTTGGCGAAAAAGTTGATCCTGAAAGTGATTACGCCGAAACTGATCTTGATCAGTTGACAGATTATAGTCTGAGATATAATGAAGAAGAACAACATGACACTTCAACTCCAGCTGCAGATATTTTGAATAAGGTGCGGATCAGTGATATTCAATTTTATATATCTTATCAATTTTTCTTTCTTTTTACTCATAATATTTGTTTTATTTGTTCGAATAGTGTGAAGATGTGGATAAGGAACCGGTGGAAGTGATCAACAACTCTGTTGAAGTTTCCCCTGGCAAAATTATTGATTCAAGTAAATTGTTAATATTTTATTTATTTCACAGTGTTAGTGTATTTAATCTATTAAACAATCTATTTAAGTATAAGATCTGCTACAGAATTTTGTGTCCTGATCTGTCAACTATTGTATTGATGTAGATTATATCGACAGCCATGTTGCAAAAGCTTCTAAGTACAATCACAAATTAAGATAGTGCTGTTTTGAGCTTCTCTTGTCTACCTTTCCTTTACACAGATTCAGAAATACAAACCAAAAATGTTATTTATTACATTGAATCTTTATCTTGAACATACCATAATAATTTAATGAAAAATCAAGTTCACGAAATAAAAAATGAGCTGTTTTTCTTTTTCTTATGAATAGTTTAACGTCTTTGCATTCATAAGCTTTTAAAATGTCATTTTCAATATATACCTAGTAGCAAAAAAAAGTTGCCACCCCAACAATAATATTTCAACAAGCAAATTTTATATAATAATAATAATAATACTTTATTTATTCTGGGACGAGTCCCTTTAGAATAATACAGGAAGACAGAAATGAGGGCTAAGGAGCCTCAGAGATATATAAATAAAAATACAGAGTAATTGAACAGTCTTGGTTCAATAATATATATAAAAAAAATAATATAATAATATAATATAATAAATAATAATATAATATAATATTGTATACAAATTTAAATTTAAATACTTACCTATGCAGATGAAACTTGTTTCCTATCTGTTAATAATGACCCTTTAATTGCATCCCAAACCCTCCAATCACATATCACAAACCTTGAAGGATGGTGTCATGACTGGAGAATAAAAATAAATTCCAATAAATCCCATCAAAATACCTTTACCCTTCATCGTAAACCTACAACTTCTTGTCCTACAATATCCTTCAATGATATTCCACTTGTTTCTGATGAGCAAATCCACTACCTAGGACTCCACTTGCATAAACGTCTCACTTGGAATCTGCATACTAGACTAAAACAACAAGAAACTGCTCGACGTTTCCGACTGCTCCAACACTTACTACACAAGCGCTCAAAACTTTCAATTAATTACAAAAGACTTATCTACTTAAACATAATAAGATCTATATAGACATAGGTAGTTGAGCTTTGGGGCTCTACCAAACCATCGAATTACTATCGTATTCAATCGTTACAATCCAAAATCCTTTGTAAAATCCTTAATGCTCCATATTTTGTCACAAATAAAATCATTCATAAAGACCTTAATGTTCGATATGCCATTGATTTAGCCCGAGTCAGATACCTATCCTTTCATGATAAACTCCAGTCCCATCCAAATCCACTTGTTTCCAGCCTTGCATCTTACACGATTCCTGATAATCTCCCTAAGCATCTGAAAAGAAGATGGCCTTGTGATCTTCTCACCTAGAATTAAATAGGGAGTGCTACCACTGGGCAGTATCTCTTCAAGTCTGTTCATGTCATTGTTTCTAATGGGTTCATTTTTACTAGTTATTTTGTTTATACAGTTGTATATTTCATTGAATAAATAAAAATAAAAAAAATTTAAATACTTGATTTATGTTCAGCTTGTCCTTGTTTATACATTTCTTTTGATATGTCATTGACAGATGAAGATTTTAAATAAATTTCTTGTGATAGTTATAAATTTACTGTGTTAAAATATATAACAGTAAGCAATAGCAACATATTTTAAGAAGTAACATATTTATTCAACATCATAACATTTATTTAATAACAAGCTGTTGTATGTTTTATTAGGCAAAGGAGGCAACTTGGAAACTCCATTAATGTTTTCTCGGTGCAGTTCATTGGGTTCTGTGAGTAGTATAGAACAGCAGGACGATGGCCACTCATCTGTTGTTAGTGAATTCAGGTAAAACTCTTTCAGTTATTTAAAACATATTGTTTTGTGGTCTTTTCATATTAGCATGAATGGTTGTACATGAGCATATTAGAAAAATTAAATTGAAGTCATTAGAAATATATGACTTCCATTGACCTCAAAAAACTGACTACAACTATAGAGATGGGCAAAATCGGAATCAATGATCACAACTGAAAATAAAACTTAATTACTACGACAATTTTATACTTGATTCAATAACCCTATAAATATAGAAAAAATGTGACATGATTACCTAATTATGATAGTAATAGTAATCATGTAATCACTTAATCAAAATCATTGATTATGAATATGCCCATCTTTGGCTACAACCAATTCAGTAGTTATGGTTTCATTAGGTTTTAGAGGAAAGGATTTAGATATTTTATTTTAATTTAAATAATAGTGATTTAAATCAAACCAATGTTTCTAATTGAATGTTTAAAGTAATAGAAACTATTGTTTTTAGCCGAATGACCAGTGGTATAATGTCTCCAAGTGAGCTTCCGGATTCTCCAACACAGACAGTTCCTCCTAGTCCGAGAGTCAAGGCACCTCCAGTATTACGTGAGTATTATTATTGCATTATTAAAATGTCATGATAATTATTTATTTTTTTTAAGGATTATCATTCTAATTTTCAATGAAATAGTCAAGCTTTAGTTGGCAGACTATTTTAGGAAATAACATAATTCGATTATTTATTTTTGAAAAAAATATTCTACATTTAATAAATGTCATCAATCACTGAAATTTAAAAAAAACAAAAAAAAAACAAGTATGCGAACTTCATTGTAAATATATATTATGTACACTCATCATTGTAGTAGAATTTAAATAATAGACCACTTATTTATCACATGATCTCTATTTTTTTTTTATAAATCCAATATAAATATTTTCATTATTATTATCACTTACCTGAAACTGGAAATCTGATTAAAACTATTTCAAACTTATTTTACTTTATAATATCATATTGGGAGTGGGGTAGCTCAGTGGTAGGGTACTGAGCTTCCAATATTAAAGGTCCTAGGTTTGAATCCCGGCTCATGGCAGAAAAATTATTTATTCTGTTTCATTAGCCACGACAGACGACCCTGCGTAGGTAGATCCTTTTGAGGCACATTCAGCCTCTATAATTTTTTTTTTTTTTTTTTTTTTTTATTAAACGCCTCTGCCATGGCTATTAGGCCATTCGGCTCCTGGCAGCCCAATACAACTCCGCCATGAATCCTTTTCCATACTTCTAACTGTACAGCCTCCAATTTATCATTCTCTTCATCCTCTTAATTGAAAAGGTTACCTTGAGGGATGATTTAGCAGTGATACTTATTCCTGATGCAACCATCCTGGATCTCTGCAGTTTATAAGTTTGATATTCCGGTAATTGGTAGAACTGGATATTTTCAGTGGATGAGCCGGCTTCTACGATCCCATATAAATCAGCATCCTCCTTTGTAATAATCGTCTTCCATTCTGTGAATTTGTCAGCAGTTAGGCCACCAGCGTTCCTGAACATAGCCGTAAGCTGTGTGTTGACTGGGCCTTTTGGTTTCCTTAATTTTGATGGATTCTATGATGTTGAACTGTCTTTGCGGCGACAATATTGCTCATTTATAAAGTGAGTATCTTTAAGTCAAATAATTGATTAAGGGGAGAAATCTGGCAGTTGAGTGTGATCTCAGTCAAATCACCTTCTTGCACAACTGTAGACCAAGAAACAGTGCTTTTACTAAATAGCACTGAACCCAAGACCCTTAATGGGTTGTAGTGGTACAGGTTTTTTTTTTTTAATATATTATTATATTACACTACTATAATCTGTTATATTTCATTCTTCAGGGAAAATCAATTAGTTTTTATATGACAAGAGCTGAAGAATGGCTTTTAACTTCACAATTTTTGTACACAAGAAATATGTTTTTAATGTCTTATTATAGAGTGCTACCATTGGGTAGTTACTCAGAAATTGTATTCATATCATTATATCTATTATGTCCAAATTTGCTTGATGTATTTATGTAATACAGTTGTAAATGTCATTAAGAAATAAAAAAAAAAAAAAATGTCTTATTAAAATAATTCACAAAATATTGAAGCAAGTGGAAGAAATTATTTACTAAATTATTGTTATTTCTAGGTTCTTTAAATTATTTTTCAGCTTCTGTAATTGAAAAAGAGAAGCCAGCTGGTATATTTGAAGACTCTGTAGTTGCATTCAAAGAGGAAAGCACTCCTGCACAATTTTCCACTGCTACCAGTCTGTCGGATCTCACTTTTGATGATGAACCTCATGTAATTTTTTTTTTTTATTTTATATATTTTAGTATTGTTTTTGTTTTAGGTATTCCATATAATTTTATTATCTGTTTTTTCAATATTAATTGTTTTATTTTCTAGTAATACATATTTTTCAATTCTTTTGTTTATTGGAAAAATAACTTAGTAAATTTTTGATTTCTCTGATATTTAAGTCAATTTTTGTAGATTTTAACCTTATTTATCGATGTTAAAACATGATAAATGCTTTGAAATGATAATGACACAAACTCTAATATATATCAAAAATAGTTAGCTTAAATACCTAATGTTATGATTTCACAGAGTGAAAATTCATCAAAGTACTTAGATATTTAATTTCAAGAAATGTTACTTAATTACTTTTTGCAATTAACCGATAAAATGATATGAATTAGTTTCTTTCTATTAAAAATTACTTTTAAAAAAAATATCTTTATTGATAAAGAATCTTTTTTTATAGTTACATTTAATATTTCTGTGTGTGTTGCTTTAGTTGCTTATGTGCCAATTAATTTAATTTTTGGTTCAATTTAATAGGAAAACAATATAGAAAGAAAAGATTTGGAACTTACAGCTGTTTCTGAAGAAGAAGATGAACATGTCTTAGCTGATTGTATAAACATCGGAATGCTGAACAATAGGAGGTATGTTAATTTTTATTGATTGTAAAGGGATGAAAACTTAAATAATTAAATTTTCTTTCTTTCGTTTTAATTTTTTTACTTTCACTTACTTATATATGAAATATATAGTAAAGGAAATTAAAATAAATAAATATAGCATCTATAATTTTTACTTTCACTTCCCCTTTCTCTGAAAATACTTATTTCTGCCCAGAAGAGGGTGGTAAGTGAAAGTTCTGTGATGCATGCACTGCACCAGATGATTTTTTTTTATAACATTGTAGGTTACTTGTTTTGTTACGAGGTTCATTCTTCCTCTAGTGGTCCACCAATTTCAGGCTATTGCACTATCAGATAGATATGACATCAAGAAGAAAAATTAATTTAATTCTGGGACTAAGCCCCCCTTAGAATAACTGCAATGTACAATTTAATGACAACAAAGAAAAGACACTGTTAGATATATGAAACCATAGATAAATTCAAATATGCGAGTTCACATATTTGTACACATAAACAAAGTGGGTGATATATAATTATCTGTCAGATAACATTAAAGCGATTGACAGATCTGAAAAATGTAAACATTATTTTACACATATTCAGAATATTGATTGCTGAGGAGGTGGATAAGTAAATTATGTTTAAATGAGGTCAAGGATGATGATTTACGTATGGAGGTTGGTAGAGAATACCAAAACAAGGTAGCATGCATGAAAAAGGATTTTTTAAAGGAAACAGTTATATGAGAAGGAATAAACAGGTTTGAGGATTGGGATCTCGTGTTGAACGAATGGATAGAGGAACAAGGAGTAAACAAATCGAGAAGGTAAGAGGGTTTTTTGGTTGAAAAGGTTTGAAAAAGAAAAACACTTAAGGAGTATTGCCGTCAGAAAACTGGATAGAGCCACTTCAACTCGGCATACCAACCGGAGACATGGGAGCGCCTCGGGACTCCAAAGATAAATCTAATGAAACAATTCATTAGTCTCCTTAATCTGATCTCAAGCCCACCAGATAGTCATATATATATATATATATATATATATATATATATATATATATACAAGGAAGCCATAATTGTGAAATAATGAAAATGAGTTAGGAAACTAGGAGCTGGCGGATTTTAAGGAGCATGGAATCATTGAATCTTCGAAATTGTTTGAGGGTAGCAATAGATTTTTGGATTATTTGGGAAATATGATTATTCCACCACAGATTCTGATCAAATATTACTCCTAGGTTTCTAACGGAAATGTGGAAACGGATAGGTAGGCCATTGAGGTAGATAAGGGGATAATAATGAGTGGAATTAATTAGATGTTTGGAACCAATGTGAATGGCTTTGGTCTTCTCAACATTCAACTTTAAATTGTTACTCACTGCCCAAGTATTGATACTATCAATGTCTTCTTGAAGCCTTTGGATTGCCTTAAGCACCTTGGTAGGATGAAAGGAAAGATAGAAATCGTCAGCATATAAGTGATATTGTGGATGATGGGATGGAATCAGGAAGGTTGTTGATGTAGATGGAGAAAAGAGTTGGGGAGAGTGATGATCCCTGAGGAACACTGCGTATTAGTGAGAGGGGGCAAGAAGAAGTTTTGTTAGATATGATGACTGTTCAGAATTTTTGATACAAGAAGGAATGGAACCACTTTAGAGCACTATTTGATATGGAAAGATTTTGAAGTTTGGAAATGAGAATTCCATGATGGACTGAATCAAATGCTCTCGAGAAATCAAAGAGGACCAGGATAGTGATTTTCTGTTTGTCTATGGAGAAATTAAGGTCTTGTGTAATTTTCAACAAAGCACTCTGGGTGAAGAACTGGGATCGGAAACCAGACTAGGGGAGATTGAGGAGAGCTTTTTGTTCTAGGAAGGTGTAAAGCTGTGCATGGACAATTCTTTCAAGATGTTTTGAAAGGTTGGAGAGAATAGAGATAGGTCTCAAATCGGAAACTTTGGAGGGAAGTGGAACTTTGTTCAACGGGCGGACAATAACTTTTCCAGGCTGACAGGAAACCAGGATTTTGTTAGGAAAAATTGTAGATATGCAATAGAATAGGAAAGATGAGAGGAAGACGAAAGTTTAATTAACTTTACAGAAATTATATCCGGACCATATTCATTTGTTCTGGATTTTAGGGCAGAAGAAAGTAGGTCTTCTGATGAAATTTTCGGGATGCAGTATGAGAAGGGAAGTGGTAATGATTCAGGGTTGGCAAAGTGGGAATTCAGTTGATCGGAAGAAACAGGGTAGGATGTACAGTTTTTTTACTTAAATATTTTTTAAGGATTTTTCATTTAGACTTAGGATTTGAGGCTTGTTGTAAGGAAGTATGAAAGAATTGTGCCTTAGCACGTCACAAGGAAGATCGGGTAAGGTTTCGAAGAGTCTTGAAAGAGAAGTTGTCATCCAGATTACGTATGCGTCTAAAATGCCTCCTTGTAGCGTCTCTTCTCATTAATTCAATTATTTCTGGATTAATCCTGGGAGCAGAAGGGCGTTTGAAGGTTGAGGGCTTTAAGAGTGCGTGTTGATTTAGGAATAGAAGAAGATTAGAGAAAAGACACTCCACCATTTCATCAATGGAGGAATAGGAATAGATGTGTTCTAAGGATTGGGCTAGTGTTTCGAGGTAAGGATTTAGTTTTTCAGAGGTCAAGGAGCCAAGATCCCACCATGTAATTTGACTGGGAGTGAACTTAAGAGTCGGAACGTTATAGGAAATCTTTATGAGGTCATGATATGAAAGGAAAGAGGCCAGATTCTGAGAGGAGGACAATAAGTTTTGAGTCAATTAAAAATCTTATAGGATATCATAATAAAATTATTCTTTCTCGATGAATCATAAGTTGCCTTAATATGATTAATATTTTTTCAGGAGTAACTTAGAGACTGTTAATACCTGTCCTGGAACGAGAATCCCAAGAGGGACCGGGATCCCTGTCAAAACCGCACCTACCCACGCTGTAAGTTTTTTCATTATTTATAGTTATTTTGCATTAATTTTTAAAGGATGAATATTTTAAGTAATAAAGACTAAAATTTGATGATCATTGGTTTGAATTGCAATCTTAACCTCATTCCAAAATAACATTTATACTGGAATATTTTTTATCTTTGAATATTTATATTTAGTCAAGTATTCTTATTTTAAAACTTCCAAACAAACTGCTTTATCTCCCTAAATAAATTTATAAATATTTAAAATTTTAGTTGGATGAAACTCTAATAGAATTTTGTACTGAGGATACTCCTGCAAGTTTAAGCCATGCAACTTCTCGTAGTGAACTCTCTATGGCATTATCTGATGCTTCATCTGACCACATTCTTGCTGAATGTATTCAGTCAGGAATGCCTCAACCTCAGGTATTATTTTATTTACATTCTTTCTAATATTTGAATTTTAAATAATCATACTGATCAGATAGGAAGAGGAGCATTTTTTTTTTTTTTTTTTTATGATACCTAGACATCACTAGAATCTCATGTTCAGAGTTGCCATTTTCTAGACCAGATTTAAACCCTATTAAACATCAATGGAATAATTTATCTAGGTGAAGTTATAGATGCGTGGCTTTATAACAGTGAATTATAAACTAAGAATTTTTCTGCTTAAGTAATATCAAAATACCACTCTGGAAGATTTATACAATTTTATTTGGAATTTACCATATCTAAATATAAATTATTGATTGATTAAAAAACAGAATAATTAATAAAGGGCAGTCAATCTTTTTATCTTTATATTTTTTTTATATTGACCCATAACAATAATATTTAGTTTATTTATGTGTCTGTTATTCAATTTTTTATTATTAATTTTTATCTAAAAATAAATATATAACTTATATTGCTGAAATTTAATGCATTTTCTTACTACATAGATAAATGTAAGTGCAGAGAGAAAGGGATTGTTCTGAAAACAAATAAACCAGTAAAAATAGTATTTTATCTGATTTTATACTATGTACGAAAAAGTAGCACGATGTTGAAAATTGTTTGTAGGTCATGGTTGAATGCCAAAATAATTGATTAGGGATTGCCATGGGAAATAAGATATAGTTGAAGATTTCTAACTACTCCTACACTTTTCTTTGAATGTTTATTGTCTGAGGTTGTTTCCACTTATTTATTTATTTAATTTTTAGATGTTTATGAAGTAATAATAATAAAAATAAAATTCATACTTGGTTTATTATTATATAACTTATTATTACATAATTTACAGACTGTGAATCAAACTACTGAGAAGAAAAAAACGAAAACTGAAACGGCATCAGCTGGAGTGAAAGTGTCTATAGTGAAACCAAGGCCAGTCTCAATCCCGGCAACAAGGTGGGGGTCTTTCTAAAGAGCGTTTCAAACTGTAACTAATCGACAGATCAGTTGTGTCAGCTGATCTTTTGCAGCATGTTTGATTTAGTCTGTGTTTGTTATCAATCTGTGAAAAGTACACTACACCACAATTCGAAAGAGCTATACATCTCTTAAAGTATTACTATCAATTTTATTATTTGCATTGATAGCTGCTTTTTGCTGATGTTGAATGTGCAGATTATATAAATATATAAAGATGTACTACTGTTGATTTTATAACAAGCTCAATTTTATATTTACTGCACTGGTCAACATTATAATTAAAAAAAAAAAATAATGTCACATATTGATGGTCTGCATGAACCCTTTTGTTTATTTTTTTTTAATAATAAATTTTTATAATGCACAATATATTTAAATTTTAACAAATATAAATATTTAAAAATCCATCAGCACAAGTTCTGATGTGTAGTTGCTTTATAAGATGGCTTCATAAAATGTCAAAAGTTATTTTATAATTTGATAAAGACGAAATATTGTAGATATAAACAATATATAAGAAATGTATTATTTTAATGTGAGTTTTTTTATCTAAAGTTTCATTCTAACAGTTATATTTGTTAAAAACTGAAACCAGCTGTATAATCTGCTCATAATTTACATATTTTTAGTTATGTTTTATTTTATGAGTGATGTATAGTCATTGTGCTTGATTCTGTCAAATTATTTTATAATACAACACAAACTAAATTAAATTATTTATTATGGTACAATTTCTGTTTCTAAACATATATATTTATTTTAATTTTTTATTTAATTAGAATCAATTTTTCATTATTTTAGTATCTGATTATAATTATTTTTTAATGATTTGTAGAATGAGGCAGCTTGTGGCCGAGGATGAAATTTCCGTGTTCGCCACTGAAGGGAGCCCTGGCAATTTCTCGATAAGATCATCTTTATCAGATTTAACAATTAACTCGAAACCTGAGAGGTAGCATAAATATTATTAATTATTAAATTCTATGAAAATATTATTTTATTATATTTATTCATTGAGTCATTGTCTCTACAACCTAGGGTTAATGATAAAAAATATAAACTGGTGATGCAAAAGATATAAACAAACATTACTTGTAATTCGAAGTCAGAAACTGTTATATTCCATTATAACAAAAATGAAAGTAATTTATAATTTTGTGGATTTAATTAAGTTTAAAATAAACAAATTTTGATTTATTTTTTACTTACTGCACTTTCACTGCATAAAATTAGTGAATAACTTCTTTAGACAATTCGTATTTAAGATACACACACAGTGCGATATGTCTGTGTTACGATATTCCTAAATGGTGTTATAGTTATATTACTATCTAATGTATTATAGCAGTTACACAAAGCGCGATAATCCTCAGCGATACCGACAAAGGGTATAATATTGCGTTCTGAGTATAGAAGCCTTAAATGTATTGCATCCCCAGAATAAAATAGGTACTATTCAAATAATTATATTTTGATCAACCAGATTTGTTCCTCATTTTGATCTAAACTTTGAGGATTGCTCAGACTGAAGGTCAATATAAAAAATTGTGATAATCTTAATAGTTGTGCATTTTTCACCTGGGATGTGCCGTGTTACTACAGGAATAGATTCCTTTAAATTTTTAGTAAATGAAAATTGATTTCTTTAAAGATATAAAGTCAATGAAGTATTTTATGAATAATTTACTTATCTGAATGATAAAACTTATGAAATATTTAACCTAAAATTAGAAATATGTAGTAATCAAAAATTATTTCATGGGATCAGTTTTGCCAAATTTCAGGTTTTGGTCTTCATAATTTTGATAAATAATTGATTATCCTAATATTTATCAAGTTTAGTGTTATTCAATCTTTTGATGTCATTAATATTATTTAGGCATGATACATGATACATTGGTTTCTAATAAGCTGTTGTTTTTCAGAAATGGGCTTGAAACACCTCCCCAAATTGCTGCTGAAAATATATCCCCCTTAAGTTCTTTGGAACCTGATGGTAAGAATTCTAATTCATTATGGTTTATTAACTTATAATCATTATTAAGGTTAATATTAGTGATAAGTAACTTGCAACCTTTAACTATCACTATGGTATCAGAATACCGAATGCCTTAGCTCAATATAATATCTGTCTTTTGCCGGTTTTCAATTTAAGCTTGCCATTTAAAAAATATGCTTTATATTAGATCATAAGTAGACAGTGTTTAGTACTGTATTTGTTTGATATGACCATATTTGGGTATGGTAATCATAGCCATTAAGATTAAAATTAATGATAAAAATTAATTTAAATATAATCGCAAAGTTAAATCATATATTAGTCTAAAGTGTCAAAAACTAAATAAGCATGATGTTATCTTATCTGAAAAAAAAAAAGAAAATTCACTAATGGAAACAAAATATTGTCCCATTTATTTGATGTTATATAATAACATTACTGTTTATTGTACTTTATTTTAATTTCATTTAGAGCTTAAATTAGTTTTAAAAAGTAAATAATTGAAATGAATCAATAAAGAATAAGAAAACTTTTCCCTCAATAATCTTTCTTTATCTGGATTTCTTTGTAGCGTCATAGCTTGAGAGAATTAATTTATCAATTGCTCAATCTCATTTATAAATTATTCCTATGAACTATGTAAAAAAGAAAGGTGTTTGGTATTATATAACGTATGTTTGTCGAATCCATGTATGAGCTTGTATGGAGCTGTTCAAGGACATCAGACCTGGATGTCAATGTTTATGCTCTTGAACACCCTGTGCTAAAAGGTAATACGAACTGCTACTTACTACTAATGCATAACTTAAAATTTTAGTTGATGATGGAGAAGTTATTACCGTATTATCGGCCACCTCGGGGGATGATGTTACTCTCGCTGAACAAGAGGATCAAGCATTGCTGATGCAATTAATTTCTTCCGGAATGCCATCAGGTAAGTTTTTATTTTATAATAAAAGTTAAAATTTGATATGATACATACTTCAAATGGACTAATTACTATTAACCAGACTTATTGCTTAAGAGATAATTACAATTTACTATTGATTATTGGAACATACTAATTCACTTTGTGATTAATTTAATTTAGAATAAATTACAAATAGTTCTTAATAATATATCCATTTTATCACTTACAATTTTACCCACATTGGAGGCAATCATAGGATTGAAAAAATATTGAGGGTTAAGGGAGTAATTTTGTTCAATATGCTGTACAACTTCCTCTTTGTGGAGGAAGTTGTTTGTTAAAATCTTCCTAAAGATTTTATTTATTGAAGTTTGAAACTCAATTAACTGCTTTCAAAAAACTCACAGATAAATAGTAATATAGGTTTGATGCTTCCTAATGCTACACTAATATGATGAGATATTTTACTTCTATAAATCAGAAAATTTCTCAATATTAAACGGCTTTTCATATTAAAATTGTGTAATTGATAAAATTTGCTGAGTTTGCATTGTCCAGGATACAGTTCACTGGAGGATAAAGGAGAGGAGAGTGGAATTATCGAAACGCAATTAATTTTTAAATATTCAGTCATTAAAAAATACTAAGCAATTAACTATGATAATTCAGACAGATTAACGCTTTGTGGGGTACGGTGGCTTAGTGGTCTTACCTCTGTGCAAAACATCCTTTGCTCTGCAACATGATAAACTAAAGATTAGGAGTTCGGGTTCTGGTGCTGGGGGCTTTTAACCCTGGCATTAATTTCCCACCCTCTCTCCTGCCCCAGTATCGTCGAAACCCTGTATAGTCGAAAAGGCAAGGTAGGGAAGGAAAAAAATGATCGAAATTTGAAATATGAGCTTTAAATCCATTGTCATTTCTATAGAAATAGGCCTGTTTTCCTTACTTTCCACTTTTTATTAACTGATGTCATATGTTTTTTATATATCCTTATGATTATTATATAATTTTCATTATGATCTTGAAAATAATTTCTGGAGGTTCTTCGATTTTTTTTAGATAATTGATATTAAATAATATTTTCAATTATAAGATTTTAAAATATATATTTATTTTGAAATATCTATTATAATTATTATTATTTGGGGGAGATGGTAGGTAAGGAGAGTTGGGGATGCGTATTTCATCGATTTAGTAGTTGATCATTGGGTTTCTCAAGTTGCATTGAATTTACCATATAGAAATTAAGTATTAAGTGTTTGTCCAAAATGTAGGTAGTAAATTGGAAAGAACTTGAAATAAATAATGAACAGTCAATAAATCATTGTTTAAGTTATACATCATAATATTGTTCATGATTTCTTTTGTGATGTATTACTGTTTTATTATTTTGGAACCAAGCTATTTCTGCATGGATTTTGAGCTTTTCCATTTACGTTCAATTCAATTTATAAATTAACTTATTTAATTTAACTTTGTAGTTGGAGATAAGATGAAAGAGAGTACTGATACTTGGGCTGAAGAAACAGGAGAAGTTTCTTTTCCAAGTTTATCTGTCCCAGAGAAGACTGACGACGATATGACAATAACTGAGTCGAGGGTCATTCCTTTAGAGTCGGGAAAGGTAGCCCTTATATCACACTTGGATATGGAAACCAGTTTCCTAGAGCAAACGCAACCTCCCTCTAACATGGCTTCCATTCTCTCCTTATCTTGTGAAACCTCGTTAGCACACGAACTAAAGCCTTCTGATTTCAAGTTAACTGATTCGACTGTTCAAGATTTAGAAGCAGTGCAACCACCTTCAGGTAAACTTTCTTAGTTTAGATCATTCTTGCATTAATCACTTATGCACAATCCCCTCAAAACATATTCAGGGTATTTCAAACAAATTAACCATTGCAATTACGTATATAGTCGGTGTTTTTGTTAAAAATAAATCATCAAAATTAACAGGAACTGACAATTAACTAATTATTTCAATAAGTGTGAATACATTCTTATCATTTCATTCAGTCTGCTGCTTCTTTCTACTTATCGTGTTAAGTTCCACTCTAATAATCTTGGAGTTTGACTTTTTCAATTATAGTGCTTTTTAGGTGATCTTTCTGAGACAGGCGACACACCTTTCCTCAGGCTTCAATGATGTTTATAATGCTCATTCCCCTTTTTAGGGTTTGTTAACTAATTTTATATGGAAAATTCTCAAGTCTTCTGTAATACACCTATAGATAGATATTGTTGAACCGAGTACATATAAACACGTATCTGTAACTGCTTCAGTATTTATTATGGATGATCTGCTCGGGAACTGATTCATAACTCTTTTTTTCTTAGTGATTGTTTAATATCTCCAGAGGAAATACTCGTAGCTCATTGAATTGAGCAAATGATCTAGGGTAGTGAAGGCTTGGTCGTAAAATTGCCTTAAAACACAAATTACTTTTACTGAGGCAGTGGAAGGTTTGATCCAAACAAAAGGATTAGAATTAGCTGAAAGGGAGCTTCTTCCGTCATTGACACAAGTTCTATTCACGAGCCAATTTGTTGTTCACTGTGATCTTCTTCAGAATGTTTCTAAGGATACAACACCAATTTTTTAACAAAAGACTATAACTCTAGAAACCATCGGAAAACGATTCCCAGAGACAGAATGGCTTCATGTATATACTGATGGTTCTGCACTGGAAGCACGCAAACATGCCGGAGCTGGAGTTTATTCAAAAGAGTTTCAACTTGTCGCCTCGGTCGGAAAGGTAGCCACAAACTTTGAAGAGGAAGTGAAAGCCATTCTCTTAGGCCTAGAGATATTAACTGAACGGAAAGCTAAGAAAGTTGATTTCTTTGTTGACTCACAGGCAGCCATTTTGTCTCTCCAAAATGGATATAATATAAATCCAAGTGTCCCTAAATGCCATCTATATTTGATCTGATTAAAGGAAAATGGAACAGAAGTCGCTTTCCATTGGATACCAGGCCATTGCGGGGTCCATGGAAATAATGAAGCTGACAAACTGGCCAGAATAGGTTCTGGAATGATCCAACCAGATATTCCTCTAGGCATGGATTCAACGAAAAGAATTATAAAACAGACCCTCCAAAGTTCACTGAAGAAGAAATATGTGCAAACAATTGAAGGGAAACGAGGAAGTGGATTGCTCTAAGAAAGTAGTAGGATCCCTAGAGGGCAAGCCTTGGCATACTTTAGAATACTCACAGGCCATAATTTCCTTCAGAAGCACCTCCACCGCATCGGTATAAAAGATAGCCCGACATGCCCTCTATGTTCCTTAGATATGATGACAGGAGAACATCTTGATACATGCCCTGCATTACAGGACATAAGATGTTACTTTAATGAAATGGACAGCCCTTATGCTCGGAGAGCAAAATTATATTGGACTGCAAGAGCACGCTGCAGGCTGATGAAGCAGGCGTTACTTAGACGTAGGAAAAAAATAAAATTGTCAAGCTGATTAGTTAGTTACATGAACATGCATATTGCGGAAGTTAGTTTTTGCCCTTTTGCTAACATACTCCTGTTAAATTATTAGGTGTGGATTGGCATTAGGGATGAGATATCGAAGGCCCGATATCTATATTGTTGTCTCTGTTAATATCTGTCTTACAACTATCGACACCATCAAAATATCAAATTTGAAATATTGATAGTCGATATTATAAACATCTTTGAAATATGAATTTCAATATAAATATTGATTCTCTAGCACATTGGTGCATCAAAGGGATGTTATTTTCTTCTTTAAATTAATTAATGAAAATATCAATTCTTCTACTCTCCTTGGTAAAATCAATTTTCTAGTTCCTGTCCATCTTCAGTTTTCTTCCAGAAATTTCCATTCACCCATAGATTGGATTCAGCAAATGCTAATTTATTTGCATCGTACATAGATTTCTTTGACAATTCATCGTCTTAGTTTGAGAAGTTTCTAACTCAAAAATGTGGACAAATTGAGTTTGCTGAGTGAGTGGAATCCCACACACACACTATTCAACTCTATTTAGGGATGGTAATCAATAATCAATATTATCAAAATATCAATTTTTTTCTAATGATCATATTCATATGTAATTTCTAGTGCTTTCTGAAAATGACAGATTTATTTTAATTTTAAAATTTAAATATAATATCGAAGTAGATACTATTGATGATAAAATATCAATATTTCGATTATATTGACTACCGATGGTCATCTGTTATAGGTGGCATCTGAGAAATTCCAGTTAGCAATTTAAGGCTGGTTTGCTTTCGTTATTGGAAACCAAATCGTGTTTGGAATTTTTATTTCTTGTTCCTGCATTTGATTCTTTATTATATTAGTTTATCATCAAAGATTTTTGTTACGCATGTGAAACGTAAACTTATTATTAAATTTAACTGGAAGTTTGATGAATTTATTCAAACCAATCTTAATGTAAGAAAATAAAAACTTGACTGTAGAGAAAAGTTGTGTGATAAATATCTATCTCCTTGCATTAAAACTGCTTATTCATTCTGAAAACGTAATCAGCCTTCTCCTTAATTTTTCTAAACCTACAATGCTTATGCACTTGTACAATGCTACAAAGCAAGTTGCTTTGTATCAAGTATCCTAATGAATGGCATTTGGTATAGTATCAGCCTACTATATTTTTCTTGTCTATTTTTGTCTTTAGGAGATTAAAAAAGAAAAATTATTTATCTTTTTTTTTACAGGAATGGATAGCATTTTGTCTTTAACATGTAGCTTAGAAGGTGAAAGAAAAAAGACTGAAAGCCTTTTGGAAAATGTGAAACCTCCACCAGATATGGATGATGCATTAGATTTGGACAACTCGATGGTCAGTGTTGCTAGCCTACGATCAGAAATAGCAGATGACCCATCAACTCCTCCCCTACAGAGACGCTTAACTCCAAAACAGAGAAGGGACCTGGGCAATTTCAGGTAATTTCCATAATGTTCTCAATATTTATTTTAATTGCTTTCCACTTGAATGGCAAGACAATTTGATCACAAAATTAAAAAAAAAAAAATGTAGGTGGCCTGCAAAAATGTTGGGCCGTTTGGCGTGACCTACACCCCCCAACTTGCTAAAATAAGGATATTATATACACCAAATGACCCAATATTTTTGTATGCCACCTTTGTTTCTTGATTTTGTGATAAAATTATCTTATGATCACAGAGGAATGCAAATGGGTATTTATAAGTTTTTTTTAATATCTCATCAAACTAATGAAGTTTTACTGATCTCCAGATTGATTTTTCGTAAATAAAAAACTTGTAGATTATGATAAAATGGAGCCTTTCACAAAGTTTTAGATAAATGTTAATAATTTGATAAAAAGGAGTCTTTACCAAGGAATAATGCTGATACACAGATTTAACACAGTTAACATTGGTCGCATGGATGTTTTAAGTAACAGGGATAAAAAACAACTTAATTGAATATGTTATTTCAGAAACAGCATATGTATAATATTTATAGGTTTTGAGTTGAGATTTGTTTTGGGTATATTGTTCATAGACTCATATTTTAATGGTATAGTGTAAAAATTGATTATTTAATAATAATAATAATAATACTTTATTTATTCTGGGACAGGTCCCTTTAGAATAATACATAAGAACAGTAATGTTGACTAAGGAGCCTCAGAGATACATAAAAAGGAATGTTGAGTAATGAAATAGTCATATTAAAAATTATAATTATACTATTTATTTTTCATGGATTTCTGTGAAAATTTTAGTATTAAATAATTGTTTGCTTAGTTTTCCAAATTATAAAAATGTATTGTTTCTGAAATAACCAAAGTCATTTATATCATATAAAAATAAAAACAAATGTTCAATGATAATATTTTTCAACTTATTTTGATTGGTCTATATATTTAGTAAAAGTCTGTGACGATTGATTCACATATTTTCCATAAAAGATTCTTGGTCGTCTTATACATTTTTTCCTAAAGAGCTTGTTATCAAGGTTTTCCTATCTCTACAGATAGTCTACAGCTTCACTTAAATAATATCTCGTAAACAGAATTTAATCAGATAATGATATAAACTGGGATTTCTAGGTACAACACTTATGTGATAAAAGGAGAAGAGAAGAACGAGCCTCCTAAAGAAATGACCGAACTGAGGACGGAAGGTGAGCCCACGGATGCCAAAGAGAAAGTCAAAGAAAAGATGACGCCTAAGCAAAGGAGGCAAGCTGATAGAGACAGGTTTAGAACGAGGACAATAAACGACGCTCCTCCAAATCTGGAAAGGTAGTTCAAAGTTTAATTGTTATTTTTTTGTTATTGTAAATTAATAAAGAAAATCTTCTATAAAAAATATCAAGATATTGTGATGAAGAATGTTAAATATTAAATTTGTTGGTGTAATTTAGAAGAGGAGTGATACGAGTGGTGATGATGGCAGTCAAAATAAAAGTTAAAAAGAGGTGTATAGTTTTTGGAACTATTGACATGCTACTAATTATTTTACACTTCTTCTTTTATTTTATTTTTACTACATTTACAATCTCTTTTAATTTATTTTTAATTCTATCAAGTTTTTTTGTCGCCTCTTTATAATATGAATTAAGAGAAATCTAACAATCCATGTTGTTGCTATATCCACTTGTAATTAAACTCCTTTTGGGAGTGCCTTACACACTTTTTATTCTGAACTTTTGAATTATGGTTAAATTCAACTCATGAGTCATTGAGTTGGAATTTTGGATTATATCTAAGATAGGACTATTTTGGTTTTTCCAAAAATTAATCAGTGAGGGGGTCACTGTCAATAATTTAAATCCCCATGTATTTTAAAAAGTTTTCTGATTTAATTTAATTTAGCCTGATAAAGTTAATCTATATTTAATTTTAAATGTCATTAATATTTAACTGTAGTTATTTGGCAACTGAATTCTTAACATTTGTATTTTAAACAATTTTTATAGATTCACTCTTGATTCACTTTTATTGAAAAAATAGATTAGTGATGTTGAAATAACTGCTTGCTAATAAATAAAATATTTGTAAGAAATAATGGTGACAGAATAATTTCTTCGTTTATAGATTATCAAGTGAGGACAGTTCGCCACCTGAAACAGACATACAGGAAGCACAAGAGAGCACGAGTGAAGCTGAAGAACCTCCAAGGCCGATTGTTGTAAAACCTCCTGAGGTAAAGATCTTTTTCATTTTAACTTGAGCTTTTAAGAGTAAAAAAATATGAAACATTCTACTTTCTTGTTTTAAACTCCTTCCGTTTCAGGTAAAAACTATACGAGGAGGTGTTCGAAGTAGTGCGATCCCTGTAGTTCGAAGCCCTGTAAAATCAAATACTAAGCGAAAACCTGGTGCAGTTGCACCAATCCAGAGGCAGGGTACTTTTACAAAAGAAGAACCGTCGTCGTCTTCTATCCCTGTTCCTGTGAGAAAAGTTACCTCTCCTCTTAAGAAAATCCCCATAGGTGAGTACTTAAATTAAAACATATCCTGAAAGTATATCATTTTGTTCATAATTTTCAAAACTGAATTATTGTAATTGTTTCTTTTTAATATTAAAAAAAGAAAAACTCACTGATAAGAAATACTTAAAAAGAGTTATTATTTGAAAAATAATTTATTCAATAAAGATTAAATTCATTCAATCATTTAAAGAACAGTTTTCATCTATAATAAGTTATATTTGTCAATAGAAGATCTATAATTAAAGGCTATAAATCTGTTCAAACAGGTGCAAGTAAGAGCACAGGAAACTGTAGTTCAAGTAGTGCTAGTGGAAGAGGCAGAGCAGCAAGCCTGCCGAACAAATCTGGCAGTAGTGGAGTGAGGCCATCGGCCAGCAACCAGAGCCTGAAGTCTGCGTCTTCTGATGGAAGGTGGGCGTCTAATTCCAGCCTCAACAGCCAGCCTGTGTCGAGGGTTGCTGCGCTCTGGAAGAGAGTTGATGAAGCAAAGAAGAAACAGCCTGTGAAAGACACACGTGTTTGGGTGTCAGCTGAACCAAAGAACAAGCAGGTAAAATGATTTATCACAAAAAATTTGTTAATATACTTAATAATTTAGCATTAATTATACATGGATTAAATAAACGTTTCTACCAACCTGATCATACTGCCTCTGCTATCCTGGGTGAGGACTCATCTGATAAATGGGCCTTAAATAACTAACCTTGGCTTCAGACTGAATCCTAAAATCAACTTTTGGATCTGAAACTGGCTAATAATGCCGATTAGAGGTTGCTTTCCTGTTAACTAAAGTCAGAGTGTTAAAATTTGATCACAGGACTGGCAGTAAATATATGTTAATGGATCCAAAATATTAATATCTATTAAATTAAGGGATTATAAAAAATTAGAGGTTTAAAAATTAAATGATATAGATTAAAAACAAAAAAAAAATTTTAGTAATATCTATAAGATATTTACCTAAGCTCACCATATTTTGCTGTGATTTCTTGAGCTGCTGGCTGCAAGTTGAAAATGTCTTGTTCCTCGTGAAGCTACTCGTTAGAATTAGATAAAATTAGTCATTTTTTCTTATTTGTGTATTTACTTTATATTCGTAAATTTTCATTGAAATGTGTGAAGATGTTTGTCAAGTTGAACTTGGGCTGGACGATTTGATATGGAATGGTCCAGCACCAAAGGTAATCTTGGCTATTATCTTAATCATACTATAAAGGTATTAAGTTTGATTCTACATGTTTAAGACATTGTTTATGTTTATTGATTGTAATTTTTACTGTTAATATTTGTTAATAAAAATATTTTCCTTTTTTTTTTTGTTACAGATGGTTTGAGAAGTGTACATATATATATTTTTAGCTGCATGTTCAAAGAAAACATCTGCAATCAATTCGTTATTTATAATATTCAATATTCATCGTCTTCTATCCTAATAAGACTATGCTTAAATATTGAATAAAATTAAGTAAATAATTAATTTCATTATAATTAATTAAATTTTTCATTCCTTATTACCTTCAACATATATAAATTGTGTGATTTTATAAATTAAAGTTATAATTGCTGACATTATAATTTTTATCAGTGTTATACTTCCTTGATGTTCAGAATTTATTGTAATTTTATATGTTGATTTAAAGAGCTGTGCAATTTTTATTTTCTTTATTTGAAGAACGCATTTAAATTATTTTAATTGAATGAAAACTTGTATATTTCAGCGGAGTAAATATAGATAAATAACTGTGTTTCTTGTCATTTTTTTTTTAAATTAATTTATTTGTAAAGATATAAAGTTATTTTGTTTATATTACCAGACTGCTTAGTAGTAGGCTGCTGTCAAAATCTATTTTATAGAAATAGAACATGACTTATAGTTTATTACATTTGAATAAACATGTTATATCCAAAAGTGTACTCCTAAATAACAAACCTTTTTCTTCTCCTTTTTGTTCTTATTAAAAAATTAAAAGCAGTAATTTTGATCTTGGGAAAGAGACATTATTAAGTATCAGCAGGAAAAAAGGCCCTTTAAGCCTCAATAATTAAAAAACTTTATTTTAAATTTATCCAAATTTTCGCCTCTTCAGGGATAAAATTTGATTTTACAATATATTGTGAATCTTCATTAACTTATAACAGTGCGCCTTCTTGCATACCTAGTCATAGTACACAACAGAAGATAGACTCTTTAAAATCTTTAAAAGGAGAATGAAAATCTCCCTGTGTGTGGAGAGATATCCTTATTGTCATGAGGGTAGAAAAGTCAAAATCATGGAACTATCGAACATATACTTAACATGAAATACGTCACGATGAAATAGAATTATGCATGTTAGGATAGTCTTATAGTGCAGTGAAATGGCAGATCTGATTTATTCTTTCAACAAAATTCAAACTAAATATAAAATTTTGATCAGCTTATTTTCCTTGTTAATTATATACATAAACAAGATTGCTTCCATGTCCATTTTACATAGGTATTTATAATAACAAAATTATTCAACGAATACAATTAAAAATTATAGTGCAGAAAAATAAATACAAAAAATTAAAACATAATAAAAAGAGGAAGTAACAGGTTTTCGAAAGTCTGTAGCTTAGAAATTATTTGAATTTAATGTGGCAAACATTTTCATTAGCAACACAATGTTCATTTTTATTTATGTTAATGTGTATGACCACTACATAATGCTATATTAATTTTATTCCTTATCGATTTCGTCCCAGAATAATACAAAATTTTTTATTTCATTTTCAATGGCATTGCTTCTGGAATCTCCGATTCCTTATCAAAGTACTTATTTCATTGATTTTCTTTTCAAATGTTTACAATTTTCATTACTGATTTTCTATGATTTCTAAAGAGAATTAACGAGAACATAGTTTATTAATGTACATAGAACATAGAACAATTAATCTGCATGAATGAATAAAATATGTAAATTAAAATAAAATAGTAAAAGTCGACTAGATGGCAAAACTTAGGCCTAGAAATAGGTATGCTGCTATTTTACCACACCCTATTTCTCCCTTATTGAAATTTTGTTTATATTCCAAGATAATTTTATTTAGCAACATATCCTAGGATTTTATTATTCATACATGTGCACCCTTCCATTGTAACATGAACATTTTATCACTCTGAAGCATTGGAGGATTTAGAGTTCATATCAACAGAGGCGTCCGTCCACAAGCCTGTTTCATGGCGCAAGTTGCTCCATAAAAAGTTTTGAGGGGGGCACATTTTGATGAGGTCTTGAATTTTTGAGGGGCACATTTTGACGGGATTATGAATTTTCGAATTTTAAATTTTAAAATCAAAATAAGAGTGGAAGAATGAGACTGACTACAGGATGTGTAATTGTATATATTCTACAAATTTTTAAATTATACTTTTGTTTGCACTGTTTTTAAGAATAGGTTAGCAATAAAATATCTTGGGAGGAGTGGGGGAAGGTTCATGCGCCATCGAGGGAGGGAGACGGAGGGCAGGGAGGTCTCTATGCCAAATCTTTAAATAAAAATAAGAATATGTAATATATTCAATGACTTTGTTAACACATTTTCAAATATACTCATAACCCATATGCAAAAATAAATAAAAAATTTTATATATATAATTGTTTTTCGTATCTAGTATTATATTTGTTCATTTTACAATAACTATGATGATTTTGTTAATTGCCACTCATAATATGAACTTCTGATACTTTTCCCAACTAGAATGAAAAGTGTGTGCTTATAGTTACATCATTATTTGTTTTTTTGCAAAAATAAAATACAAAATAAATAATTTGAGCAATAATTATGTATTTTTGCCTTAGAAAGCACCAACGAGTTCAAAAATAAAAATCAAAGATAATCATTGAGGTGATTAATTTGTGTCAACTTCAAATGGGATAAATCTTGAAAGAGTAAAAAATAAACACAGCACTACCCATCATGTAAAATTGTTTTTCTTTGATTTTATTTTACTATATGTGAACAAGGTTTTGGTATGATGCAATGGTTGGTTTCTTTGACACAAAACCATTTTATATTTGTTTATTATAAAAAGGATCTCCAGGTTTTTGTTTCATATTATCAAAACAAATGCTAACTATGGAATCTAAAAATCATCACTCAGATATCTTTATGAATTCAACCCAAACGAGGATGTTTTAATTTTGATGAATGTTTGAAGAATTTTTATTCATTCTTAAAAAATATTTAATTACAATGAGAATTGCTAGAATGCAGGATTGAAAAAAAAAATGGCTATTGTTCATATTCTATAGTTAGCATTTACTTTAAAATAATTAGCTGCTTGACATAAGGAAATAAAAATATCAGAAATTGTGGTGAGATATTATAAATGTTCCACAATAAAGTCATTGCAAAGGAACATTAGCGGATCCAGGATTTAATTTTGGGGGATGCTTCAGCTGGGAAGCTATTATTTTTTTATATATATAAAGATAATTACTTGAAAGATGCTAGCTACCTACATGAAATGGTGTTTAAGTGATACTTGAAGTACTATTAAATATAATTAAACGAACAATAATACTTTAAGACATTCTTTTTTAATATTTTTTACCATAAAACACGGTTACATTCTACCATTTGGGGAGGCTTCAGTCCGAAATCCCCCTCTCCCCCCTGTAGATCCGCCTGTGCAAAAGAAAATAAAATTAATGACAACTCTGCTGAAAGGCAATAAACTGGTGTTCCTGAAGAAGGTACAATAAAATAACGTAATAACTTTCTTATCCACCTCCCTCCCCCCTTAAAAAAAAAAATGAAATTATATCAAGGTGCTTGAAATTGACTATATGATGTCACAAAATAATTTTCATACGTTTTTAACAAATTAAATTAAATAGTTGAAGCAAACTGGTTTTTAAATTTAAAACTAAAAGAGGATTCTCAGTCAATTCCAAATTAAATCTAAATTAGATTTAAAAAGTGAATCAGTTGGATTACAGCTATTTGACACAGCCTAAAATATAACAGGCAACACTGTTCAGTGAAAAAAACTTTCGGTAACTCCAGAAAATATATCAGTTTGATTCGAAACTAAGAAGAATTATATAAATTACCATTTTCGAGAAAAATCTCGAAGTATGAAAAAAGTTGAGATTGTAAGTTTATTTTATTTTTAATTTATTAAACATGCAATCCCTCATTTGAACGGAAAATTCTATGCATCGTTCCTGCGATCGTTCTTTGAGGTTGCACAATCATGTTTTATAGTTAGATGATGCATCCGTATTATTTGCTTCAATTAAAATAGAACCCACAGATTTCAAGGTAATCTGGCTTTTTTTCATTTATAAATCATTTGATCAAGAGATTACTTTAAACATATTAGTTTCCAATGTAAAATAAACACACTGATTCAGCTACAACTATCCAATATATTGCAAGTTATCCAATTAATTGTTCAAAAAATGTTACACCAATGTCAAGGTATGTATTTTACCTACAGTTAGTGATTCACTCTTCTATAGGCCGTATGCGAAATAATTCCGAACTTATAAATATAATTCCAATGGTTATTAATAAACATTATCTCTAAGAGTCAGAAGATTGAAATTATTAACTTTACTTTTTATTGTATAAGTATAAATTGATTATTTTTGCTTATATTTTACATTACATTTAAACATCTAATATCGTATTTTATGTGGAAACAATTTTTATTATAACAGTACAAACGTTGAGAAAAAATGCACAGACACCATCGTTCCAATACATCAGTTTTTCCATACTTAAGATGATTTTAGTTATTGGATTTTGTCTTAGCGCCATGAGTGGATGTAATTCAAACTTCTCCACGAATTCCATTCTCGCTCACTAGTTTAGTCACTCCAGGTATGTCCCTTACCTAGTGAGTGGAAGAAATACAATTAAATCATAATTATTTTGCCAGTCCGATGTCAAAGTAATAATAAGTGATATTAAATCTCAATTGAAGCTAAATGTTGTTTTAAAAATTTTATATTGCACTAGTTACTAATGTAGGAATGCCTGTAACGTTCTTGTACATTTTTTGGAATAAAATGCTGTTAGTTACGCTAATGGAAGTTGTGAAATTCACTTACAAAAACATGATATTATATAACCTCAAAATAGTTTTATTCGTATGAAAAAAAATATGATGAAACTATTGATAATACTTGGGCATCAGATAAGTATTTCCTAATAATTCTTTTGATTATCATAAAGATCAGATGTGTTACCTGCACAGAAATATTATCCTGTGCTTAAGTTAGACGGCGTTTCAGTGACCGGCAGTACTAATTTGTCATAATTTCCTATAGTTACCCTAATTTACTATTTGAGCTCTTGTGTTTTTTTACAGTCAAGCCAAACTTTCTTTGAAGACATCAGATACAATAGGTAGGAGGTACCCAAGTGTCAGAAATGACACTTTAATTATTTGTTTATTTGAAATCGTAATTTCATTGTTATTTATTCCTCGTCATTATTATGTGATACCCAGCGCCACAGTGGTTAGAAATAGATATTACAAACAGTGAAATAAAACTTTGTAGTTTAATTTTTTACTTTCCTACCTATTATAGGTAAGGTAAGTATTGTGATCGGGTCAAATTTCCAATATGCGGTTTTCGACAGATCTATACGTTTCAGAGCCCTCCGAGTTCGAAAAACACATTTTTAGCCATTTGTCTGTCTGTCTGTGCCAAAATTTTCTCGGTAAATAGGAAACCAATTTTGATGCTTCTTTTTTTATTTTGTAAGGTTTTGACTACTGATGCTTGTGACACAAATTGGATACTCCATGCACAATAGCTGCTGCGCAATAAATGAAAAACATGTTTTTCTAGAGACTGTTGCGCGAAAACGGCTCAAACGATTTTAATGAAACTTTCTTATAATGTTCTAATAATTGTTCTTTCAATTTTTGTTCATTGACTGAATTCTCGAGAAATTTTAGGAAAAAAAGTTATAAAGAAAAGTTAAAAAGAACAATAAAATGGTTCTATTATTTACTGAGTATATATGACGATAGGTAGGTATCGAAAATGATGGACTACTTCTCTGGTAACAGATGACCTCTATGTCCCCCAAGATTAAGAATATGTGAAACTTTTATGTGGAAGATACAAAAACATCCACCAGGCGTTGTGGATAAACACTCTCATACGTTCAAAGGCACAAAAAGGGTGAAGGGAATGAAGATTATTGAAAAATAGTGCGGAAATCCTGAACATGAGGAAAAAACGTATCGTTAAGTCAAAGAATCGTAAATAAAACAATAGGAATAAGGAAGTCACAGGTGCAATTATAAATTGAAAATAAAAATGATTATTAGAAATATTATTATCATAACATATTTAAATATTTTTCACTTCCTTATTTAACTGAATAGATTAGAGGAGAACGTCTTTTTTAATGTTGTTTTTTTTTTTAATAAATTCCGATTTTTAATGAAATTAGTGAATATTTTTCAATGGAACCTAATTTACTTTGAATAAAAACAATAACGTTAAGTTTGTTTTTCCTATATTTGCCTCATTTCATATTATGAAATGTAAGTTGCTGATGTATGATGCGAACTATGTTTGTTTGTATTAAGTTGCAACGTAATTTTTATTTATTTATTATTCATGAGATGTTTCGTAACTTCTTTCAACTTCTAAGAACAAATAGTTTCCTAGGTTCAGACCAAGTGTGGAAAAATCTCTAAACCGAAATAACGTAAAATTTAGCATAGTTCATGCTTGTCATAATATTTAACCATTATTGATAGCACATTTATTTTACCTGGGATAGTCAATGTTTAATATAATTTTATAATATGTCGTTTCAAAACATTCTTTTAAAAATAACTATGTACTGAATTGGATTAGAAGAAAATTCGAATTTTGTTTACAATATAAAGCAGTAATTTTTTTATTTAAACAAATAACTAGAAATATATTTTAAAATTTGTTATGCAAAAAAACATTCTAATGATGATCATATTACTTTTTAGCAGGATTCATAAGTTATTTTTCAAAATTTCAATACTATAAAAAATAAAAAGTATATTGCAAAAATAGTTATAAACCTCATTGCTCTTATGTTGATGGTCGGTGGAAAAAAAAAAACAACGTAATAATTTATTCAACTTGAGCGATACATCCTGTTTTAAAAACCAAAAAAATTAAAATCAATGGTTACTGCAGTTAACAGCTAATAGCACAAGACGTATAATACTGGCTTTTTTTAAAAAATTGTTTCTTTATTTTAAGGATTTTATAAACAAGCCTATACATCTGTGAATAAATATATAATAACGTAGGCGAGTCACGGAAACGTAATGATAAAAAAAAAAATTCTCGCGGTTTCTGCCGTGGTCTGGGAAGTGGCTCTTCTTCACTCTATCTTCCATGGCCTGAACTAAGTTTCTGAAAATTCTCAGTCGTTGGGGAAGATGTAATGGGAACGGTTGCGGTGTTTGTTAGCAATTACGAAGAGAAATACCGATCTTGAAGGTCATCAAATTATAAGACGAAGGTAACTTCACATATTTGTTGTTTTCGAACGAGGAGAAACTGTTCAACGAGCGATGTAAGTGAACCTTTGAATTTGATTGTTTTGTCCAAAGAATTTGAACTCCTTCGAAAACCTACCAAAAATTGACAGGTATGAACTTTTTACTATTGTTGATTTATTTTTTTTATATTAATTTAAATACACAGGCATATATGTTTTTTTATTATTATTTAACGTAAATACAAATGCATGAATTCTATAGTTTATTTATTTATTTTTTCACGGACGTTTTAGCCTACTTTAAAATGTATGTTCCATTTCCACATGTATGTATGTATGTATGTATGTATGTATGTATGTATGTATGTATGAACACATATATATCGACCGGTTCAGTAGCATTCAGGAATTATTTTTGGGGAAGAGGAGATTATTTGTTATTATTGTTTTTTTGTTGTTTTTTTTACGGTAATTACTCTGGAAGAAAAAGAAAAAAATATATATGAAATTAAGTTTAAATGGTGACTTAAAGGCCTGTTAAAAAAACAAATATTAAAGATAAAAACGATAATTAGAGGAACAATAATAGTTGTAAATACTTTATAATTTAAAAATATGACAAATTATTGTTATGCAAACATAAATGGAAATTATTTTTTTATTTCGAGAGAGGGGCTTTCTCCCTAAAGCCCATGACTGCCCCCGTTTATCCACCAGTACGACCAGTTGGTGGTTTGAATATAAACTGAAATCATTATGAGATTAGGTTGTTTGCTAACTGTTCCTGAACCAAATCTCCGTTTCATTACTGATAAAATTATATAATTGTGAATGCATATCTGATATTTGAACTTTTACAATTTTTTAAATACTGAAGCATAGATTTGGTTTACTACCATTCAGTTAGGTAGCGAAAAATCTCTTCATAAAAATGTCAGTAGGTCACTTTTTTACCCCCAACCAGCCGTTACAATGTTATGTATAAAAGCTACTATATAATCTTACAATGTTACACACATTGTATGTATAATAGTTTTTCAAAAGTCGCTCTATTTATAATATTAATTTATATTCTATTTTGGAATTATTTTACGTTTCAAGTAAATTTTTATAAGTAAATTTTTCGTCGTTAACATGATGATTAATTTAGATAAATAAATATGGAAAAAAAAGGAAAACTATAATTTTTAGTTGTTCTCGGAATCTTTTATTTATAGTCTGTCATGACAATTTAATTTTAATTAGTATTGACGGAAAGTTTTACAAAATTTAAAGAAAATTATCTCTTACCTATGTTTCTTATATGGTGATTGAAAATATTTAAATAACAAATTTTAAATTATATAACATAATCAGATTCTATGGATTATGGAGAGGAAAATAGTGCATTTGCCACAGGCCGTAGAATTTAGTGGTCAGTAAATTTCTTTTTAGCTGATGTAAAAAATATTTGTTTCTCCATTTTGGTTGTTTTGACCATAATTTAGTCAATAGGACGCGTTAATTTTATGTAATTATGATATTCGTTTCGAAATATAATAATATTCAATATAATATTAAACAATATTCAAAATCATGAACCTTGTTTGCACTTCCACATTTTTTCTTATTAATCGTTTTTATTTTGTTTAGATTATATGCTTATATAACTTTAACCTTTGATTAACAGCCAAGAAATTAATTAAATTTATATGTACGTATTATGTTTAATTTATTTGTATTTATATTTTTTTGTGTTTCGGAATGATAAATACAATGAAACAAACCTCTCCTAACAGATACCTCTCTTAAACATTTTCTTCACCGAGAGATTAATCAGCTCCTCTAAACGGACACTTAATATTAAAATTAAATTCGTATCTAATATATATGTGTATTCTAGAATCTATTTTTTAATTTATACAATATAATACTGAATAAAAAACTAGCTAATCGTTTCGAACGAGAAAAAAACTGCGTAGACGGAACCAGTTTATTTTTTGCGGTGAAGGTTGTTTATCCAGATTCTGCAACTAAACACCTCGTACCAAAGAAGACTCCAGAAGACTGTTGAATTCGTTTAATTCATATAATATATCTTTACAATAAGATCATTTTAGTCTAATTGTTTGATTAATTTTGATTTATTTACCCATATTAGCTACATATATAGGTTGTTTCTCATGCCCTTGTAACAAAACAATGAGCGGAATGATTGTTTTTTTTTTTTTAATTTTTTATTATTTTAATGGAATTTACAACTGTATTACATAGAGAATACAATAAGTAAATGAGAAATTTGTAACATGGCATGTACAACATGAAGAGCAACTACCCATTGGTAGAACTCAAACTAAAGTTCTATATTAGAAGATCCCGAGGCCATCTTCTTTTCAGACGCCTCGGAGGGTTATCAGGGATCGAGGAGGAAGCAAGGTTTGAAACGAGAGGATTCGGATGGTTCTGCAGTTTGTTATGGAAGGAAAGGTATCTGGATTGGGCCAGATCGGAAACATATGGAACATTAAGGTCTTTATGGATGATTTTATTTGTGACAAAGTAAGGAGCGTTGAGGATTTTACGAAGGATTTTGGATTGTAAGGATTGGATACGAGAGGAATTCGATGGTTTAGTGGAGCCCCAAAGCTCAATTCCGTAAGTCCAAATAGGTCTTATTATTGTCATATATACGAGTCGTTTATAAGTGATTGAAAGCTTAGATCGTTTGTCTAGTAAGTGCTGCAGTAGTCGAAAACGTCGGGCGGTTTCTAGTCGTTTCAGTCTGGTATGGGGGTTCCAAGTGAGTCGTTTGTCAAGGTGGAGTCCTAAGTAGCGGATTTGCTCAACAGGAATAAGTGGAGTATTATTGAAGGATACTGTAGGACAAGAGGTCATAGGTTTACGACGGAGGGTAAAGGTGATTTGATGGGATTTGTTGGAATTTATTTTTATTCTCCAATTTTTACACCATTCTTCAAGGCTTGTGATATGCGATTGAAGAGTTTGGGATGCAGTTAAAGGATCGTTATTAACAGATAGGATACACTTGTCATCGGCATAGGTGGTGATGACAGTGTTGGATTTTTTTATTTTTTTTATTTAATATTAGATTAATAAGTGGATCATTTACACCACCACCTCAACTGATGATGGCCCGCAGGGCAGTCGCTTGTGGACGGGGAGCACCACGAATAAGTTACAAAAATATAAAAAGAATCTTTTTGAAAAGTATTATTTCTATGTACTTTCCACTTTTTAATTAATTTCTTTCCATCTTTGCTTGAATCTTCATACAAGACCAGTGGAATAATTATTTCTAGCCTCAGTTCCGTTGTTATATAAATTACAACATACTGGCTAGAGATTTAGCGATAGAAGTGCAGATGTATAATTAAGTAGAATAAATATAACCCGTAAACATGAGAAAATATACTACTGGCCGAGTTGGTGTCTTATAAAGGAGGCGCTTGATATAATTTCGCCCCAGGCAACAAAAACTCACTCAACGGCCCTGATGTCCTGACAGCCAAAACCACTAACGGATCCAGAATTTAATTTTGGGGGGAGGGCTTCAGCCCGAAAGCTTTTTTTTTTAAATAAAAATGACGATAATTACTTTGGAAAAAAAGAAAGAAACTAAATATATATATGAAATGGTGTTTAAGTGATTCCTTAAGTCCTTTAAAATGTAATTACACGAACAATAATACTTTAAGAGATAATTTTTTAATATATTTTTCCATAAAACATGGTTATATTTTACCATTTTGGGAGGGCTTCAGCCCGAAAGCCTCCCCCCCCCGTAGGTCCGCCCGTGGCCAAAAGTTACTGAAAAAAAATTTATTATGATGCAGTTGTTTTTTTCGCTTTCAGGGATTCCTATTATAACAGTGCCGGTAAATTGATTAGTACCTTATACTTTTGGCGCCCCCGGGCAATGACGTCATCTCCCCATCTAAAAAAATTAAATTTACTTCTTAAGCTGTTTTTATTATGTAATATTTAAATTTTATTTCATCCAATATTTCTTTAATAAAGTTGCTTCATTAATAGGCTAAAATTAATTATTTTACTACATTATATATATACATTATATATATATATATATATATATATATATATAGTCTTTGTTATATACATTATATTTATTATTATATTCTGTATTATTTATTTTTATTTATTGATATATATATAATATTGTGACAGAATGTAATATTATAAATAAATAAATAAATAAATAAAAATTTTTAACAAGTTACGAGCGCTCTTGGCACTAGCGGCTTCAGGATTTCATTTTGGGGGAGGGGAGCTTCAGTCCAAAAGCTTTTTTTTTTTTTAATATTAAGATAATTACTTAGGAAGAAAAAAAGAAACTAACTGGCTATACGAAATGGCGTTTAAATGATTCTTGAAGTCCTATTAAATGTAATTACACGAACAATAATACTTTTAGAGATATTTTTTAAATAGTTTCTTTCTTAAAACATGTTAACATTTTACCATTTTGGGGGGTGGAGGAGGGAAAGAGGGCTTCAACTCGAAAGCTGAGGGCCCCGAGGAAATTGCGCCGGTTACCCGGGCCTAAGGCCGGCACTGACTGATTATCATCACTTTAAGCATAAATATACAACAAAATATTTCTACTTTTTATAGTTTACAACAAAATAGAATATACCGAGAAAAAAAAGTTTTGTGATCATGTTTTAGTTTAGGTTGTCCATATCCCCGTTGGAATGATGCAATTCTTAACGAAGTCAAGCTAATTTATTTCATTCCACTTCATATAAAGCGAAAAAAATACAAGCTAAGTCTCTTGTTCTTTTGCACCAGTCTCAACGGATACAATATTGGGTTAGAATTAGTTTATGGATTTCTGAGTCTTATAGCTCAACTAGAGAGATATTTTTCAATGCCGCAAGCTCATAACTACTTAGATGCGCTTGTTAATTACGTATAGACATGTTTCCCTGATATCGTTTATACTACAAATGTTTTGTGGAGAAAAATGTATATATATTTAAATGAAGAGTTTTCGTACAGATACACAAGTATGCTCTTGTTTCTTTTAATTGGTGAATCCAAAAAAACGAAACTCAAGTCAGACATCTCAGCAGGTTATTGAAAGAGATGGGAGAGAAGATGCCACAAAACTTAAAAATCAGGCAACTTTACACAAAACATTTCAGGTCAATTCGTCTGTATAGAACATTTTTTTTTTCGGTCCCACGATCATTTTGTTTACATTATAGCCTTTAAATACAATAATTAACGTCGATTTTTTTTCAGATAAAATGGATGATGAAGTAAAGCAAAGGCGGCCAGCAGAAAAAGACGTCATTACAGAATGCATCGGGGAATTCGGTCGTTGGCAGCTGATGATGAACGTCTTGTTATCCTTGGTCAACATCCCTTGCACCTTCCACTTGTATATACCCAACTTCATAACGGAAACGCCTGCGACCTGTGCCAAACCCGAAAACAGTTCACTTACTCAGGAGCAGTGGATGAACCTGAGCGCTTTGGTAAATATTATTAGGTAATAGTTCCTATTTAAAGTCCAGCGTTTTTACATATTTGCCTGCTCCTAATTCTACAATTTTCCTCGTTTAATTCCTTGTTAAAATTTTCAGTAATTAGATTTCCTAATTTAGTTTTCAAGAAATAGACCCACTTATTTTTTTTTCCGGTTGCCAGGCAACTCGCGGTGCTGTGCACACGCTTTAACCCATTCGGCCACCCCGCCCCCTAAATAGACCCACTCACTGGATTAGTTCTAATCTGTTACCTCCCACTAATGATGGCATCATTGTAAGTTTTATATTTCTTTAGCTAAAACTTCCCTTCCCCCCCCCTTAATAATATTCTCAGATCTTGCCCCTTATTGGTGTTTTATAGCATAAAAACAGTTTTGTCTACTTCAGCATTAACATTTCGATTATTTTCCATTCTTTGTATGAATTATTTTCTGTTTTTAACTATATAAAACAGTCAAGTGGTCCTGCGGATAGACAACCTACCACTAGAGTTGTTTAAAGGTGGGAAATAATATCTAAGGGCCTAGCTATTGTTACTGAATATGGAAGGAGCAACTAAATATAGATTATAACAGAGGCTCGGAACATGAACCATGTCTGTCCTATCCATTTACAAGGCATATCATTCATATTTGGTCAACGAATGTTATTGGATGACATAGACTGAGTTTGAAGCGCCCAAGGAATTGATGAGATTGACGAAAGCGTGCACAAATGATGACTACTCCTGGTAAAAGGTAAAGTATTTGAGGACTACGAAGTTCGAAATGGATTGTGCGGAGGGTCACTCCTATGCTTAGCAGTGGAGGAGGTGATAAGAACAATAAGAGAAAGTGGAGGTGTGCACGTCGGAACGAATCATAAAATTGTAGGATATGCCGATGAAATAGCTATCGGAAGCGTTTATGGGGACATTGTAAACCTGGCAAAGTCTTTTGGAAGTCAATCAGTGCAAATTGGCTTACAAGTGAATGAAGTATATATATATATATATATATATATATATATATATATATATACGCGAAAGTAAGAAAAAAAATCCACTCCCGAACGACAAGATCTGCGTAGGTGGATGGTCATTTTCGTTAATAGATTCATATACTTCGAGTCCTCAAAATCTCATTAATAACCATCTTAAATAGACCGACTCACTAGCGGATCCAGGATTTAATTTTGGGAGGGGCTTCTGCCCGAAAGTTATTTTTTTCATAAAAATAACGATAATTACTATGGACAAAAAGAAAGAAACTAACTACCTATATGAAATAGTGTTTAAGTGATTCGTAAAGCCCTTTTAAATGTAATTATACGAACAATAATACTTTGAGAGATAATTTTTTAATATTTTTTTCGATAAAACATGGTTATATTTTACCATTTTTTGGAGGGGAGGAGGAGAGCTTCAGCCCGAAGCCCTCCCCCCCCCCCGTAGATCTAGTGGACCGACTTATAGACTTACTAGAATGGAAAATAACAGTTTAATAAATAACAGTCCAACAATCGATAATCATTTATAGGTTAAATATTCCGATAATCTTCAATCTCTCTAGGTAGATAAGAGGCCTTTCAGAATGGACTAACTCCAAATTTGAACATTCTTTATTATTATTTTAGTGATGCTTCTAGTGAGAAATTTATACCCTTATTCACAGTTCTATATTTTCAACATGCAATCACCTTACCTGGGATAAACTTACTCATTGTCTGTATAGATACAACTTTTCCAACTAGAAATATCACTAAAATGACATTACTCAAAATTTTTGAAATTGGAGTTAGTCATTCTGTCAACCAAAAGGTTCATAGAGTGAAGTTTATAAAAGCATATGGAGTAATTAGATTTGTATTGCCTACAGTCGATGTAATAAATAGGCTTTTTGTAATTTTAATGGTCTTAATGATCTGTTATCTGTAAGCTTTAAGCTATACCTCCGCTTAAAATGCACTTCAAAAATTTTATAATAGCCCAACATTGCTAGAAAATAATTTCTATTCAAAGTAGAGCGGTAAGTAAAAGTTGTGTGTTGCTCGCACCAGAATTTTGAGGATGTTATAATTCAGTATGCTACACTTTTTCTTTATTTCAGAAGCTAATTTCATCGTATTAATGATCCATTCACTGGATTGTATGATTGTATGATTTACTGGCATTTGTATGATCCATTCACTGGATCATACAAATGCCAATATAATTATCTTTTGAATTTACTTTTTAGTTTTGGCGTGCTTTCAAACTAAAAGTAACCGTTTTTATTTTATTTTTTGCAAAAAAGGTTGATCTTCGGGACTGTTTAAAACTCCATCTGTTCTTTATCTTTTATTTATTGGCAGATTTCTTTTTATTCAGTGAAGAAAGAATTAGTATTTGCTTAGATGCTATTTGATTTGCTATCTTACTTCCTTTTCTTATTTTATAAGTATATTCCTATATTGTATATTAGTATAATATCATATACCAGTGTTACATGTACGATGCCCTGTCTTACAGGATGGCCAGAACGATATGTGCGCTTTTAGGGACTTGGATTACAGCCTTATGTACAAAAACCTTAGTCAACTACAAAGCAACAGAAGCCTTCCTTGCAGCAGATGGGACTACGATACCTCACATTTGGGCCTCACGTTAGTTACCGAAGTAATGAACGTCTTTATCGATATTTTCCTTAGTATAATTAATGTTTATGCATGTCTGAGTTATTGGAGAATTGCTGATACTAATAAACTATATGCAGTGGGATTTGGTTTGTGACCGAAAGTATTTGCTAAACGTAGCTGAAATGATGTTCCTGATGGGCGTAGCGATCGGAGGTTTGGTCTGTGGCTACATATCAGACAGGTATGGCATTTAGTACTTTATCATTCAATTCATAAACAAAACATTCTCACAGCAAAAAATCACACTTATAAAAAAATTTAAATATTAACTATCTAATATTTATTCCTTGATCATCTTTAATTTTAAATATTCTAGTACATAAAAATTCATAATAAATAAGACAATTTTTATGAAATATTTCTGGCATTATTAATATTCTGAAAAGAAGCGTTTGTTTTTAGGTTTGGTAGGAAAAGAACTTTGATGTTCTCCTTGCTTGCTCAGATTTTGCTTGGAGTTTCTATTTCATTGACTCCATGGCTTCCTCTGTTTTTTATATTAAGGGCCATCTTAGGTTTTTTCAGCTCCAGCATGGTATTCTCTGGCCTCGTATTGTGTAAGTAATTTTAACTATATTATTTTGTTGTCACTTTTACTTTTTTTAAATTTCATAAGCATAAACAACAATAGGTAGGATAACAGCAAATCCCTACCAAGGTCCCTGAAATCTCTAACAAAATCATGTGGAACCCTTGTTTGTTTCATCATTCTCTTATCCGGTTCTTCCACGATCACGGACGGATCTACGGGGAGGGGCTTTGCGGTTGACGCCCCCCTCCAAAACTGGTAAAATATAACGATGTTTTATGGAAAAAAATATTAAAATATTATCTCTTAAAGTATTATTGTTCGTGTAATTACATTTAAAAGGACTTTAGGAATCACTTAAACACCACTTCATATAGGTAGTTCGTTTCTTTCTTTTTTTTCAAAGTAATTAAGTGGAACCCTTGTTTGTTTCATCATTCTCTTATCCGGTTCTTCCATGGTCACGGGCGGATCTACGAGGAGGGGGCTTTGGGGTCGAAGTCCCCCTCCAAAAATGGTAAAATATAACGATGTTTTATGGAAAAAAAATTATCTCTTAATATATTATTGTTCGTGTAATTACATTTAAAAGGACTTTAGGGATCACTTAAACACCATTTTATATAGGTAGTTAGTTTCTTTTTTTTTTTTAAAGTAATTATCGTTATTTTTAGGAAAAAAAGGCTTTCAGGCTGAAGCCCCCCCCCCAAAAATTAAATCCTGGATCCGCTAGTGTCCATGATAGAGACCATTCCCTACTATATGCTGGCCGATTCATACAAATTTTCCTCATTATTCGGCCTATTATTTTCTCTCCTATCCTTTTATCCTTATTCTTTCATACGATTATCAAAGTGTTTGTCTTTACATATTTGCGGGTGGTGCTGAGAAGTGTTACAATAAATCCTCTATGCATGTTGTCTTCTAAATCTTTTGGAGGTTTCTTGCCCTTGTTCAGGTGTGATGTTATAGAGGTGGTCCCCCTATTATACTCGATCACTCATTCTGCCTATGCACATCCTACTCACTCATTAATTGTTTGGAAAAAGAGAGTTTGTTTGATAAAGTAGTTTAAGAGAAACAGATGTTTGTATGTTTCTACGTGTATTATTATAATGTTGTTTGCAGTTTTTACTGTCATGAGTTATTTTAATACAATAGACGGATTTCAAATAGTAATATGTATTTAATATTTTCAGGCTTGGAGATAGTTGGAGGGAAATGGTTGACAATATGCGGTGTATCATACATGTTCACCATTCCTCTCTCTTACATTATCATCTCAGGATTAGCGTATATAACCAGGAATTGGAGAATCCTTCAACTGACTATATCCCTAACAGCTGTGCTGCTTATTCCACTATACTGGTATTAGAACATTATTAATTTGAAAAAATAAATAGCATGCGCAAGTATCCTTGATGCCAATTCATTTAACTCAATCGAATTAATTGTTTAGACATATTTAAAGGGGGGAGGAGAAAATCGCGGGGCTGCCTCTCTTGCAAACGCAGAAAACATTAAAAATAAAACAGCAACAAATATTAACTACATATTTCGGAAAAACTGATTGACAGTGATACGTTAAAATGTTAGTATTTTACCATTTGGAAAAAAAAAAAAAAACTAAACACTCTCTACTTGAAAGAAATTATTAAACAATCCCTTAAATGGGGAACATGTTTTGAGCTGCTTAAGCACTTACATATATTGGGTCTAGAAGCAAGTAGGGTGAAATGTGGGCAACGATTGAGATGTCGATGCTGATAAAAAAAATAACAATAACAATCTCAAAAACTAATTACGTCTACTAGGAGAGTCTAATCTTGTCCCTAAGGAGAGTTCCTTGCTTTTAATACTTTTTATATATGCTAATGTTATTAATTTTTTATGTTTTATTCTTACTTTTCGATCTTGTCCCTCACTTTTTGAGAATATAATATTGGTTTTCGGAACCTGTTACGGAAGGCAAAACTACTTATTTATAAAATAATCAACAAAGGATTGGAGAGGCGTTGTTAACGAGCTCAAGACCCTACAAGGGCTGTCTGTACCTATATACCCACGGAAAAAATACTTTTCAATGAAATTTTTTGTTGTGTTGAGACGTTAATGTTTTGAATGTTTTAAAGGGTAGTTTAATAAAAAATCACTACACTGTTCGTATCTGCATCGTATTAAGACATCGTGCTGAAAACAAACGCGTTTGACAGGTCAACCTTCTGTCGTAGTTCGTGTATAGTACTTTTGGAGCCAATATCCAATGTGGGGATAAGTGTATCAAGTATACCCGTAAGTATATTTGACGAATTTGTATCAAGAATCGCGAGAAATATATTGTAGAGGCAGCCTAGTAACCATTTTATCTTTTACCATCGTCAATGGTCGATGTTCATGCTTAATCATGACCTGAAAAAGTGTGCAATGTAGACACTCACTGTCTATCACGGGCGGATCTATGGGGGGGGGACTTTCGGGCAGAAGCCCCTCCCCCCCAAAATGGTAAAATATAGCCATGTTTTATCGAAAAAAATATTAAAAAAGTAACTCTTAAAGTATTATTGTATGTGTAATTACATTTAAAAGGGCTTTAGGAATCACTTAAACACCATTTCATACAGGTAGTTAGTTTCTTTCTTTTTTTCCAAAGTAATTATCGTTATGAAATATATATATATTTTTATGAAAAAAAATAGCTTCCGGGCTGAAGCCCCCCCCCTAAAATTAGATCCTGGATCCTCTAGTGCTGTCTATTGGGCTGTTTTTGTTTCTTCTGCAACCTATGACGGTCATATCATTTATGTTTTGTTTAGAGCTTTTTAACAGATATCTCTCTACTAACAAAAACTACAAATTATTTTAACTTTTCAAGTTATCTAACCGATAGATCATCGTTCAACACTGGTGTCTGATCGATTTCGATAATCGATTTATAAGTAAAGGAAGTGAGGACTTAGAGGATTTTTTAATTTATTTAACAGTTATGTATATAGAAAAAAAAAAGACATTTTAACAGTATTTTGCTGTTGCTTCTGGTCGTTTAGTCAGACCAAATTAATACAAAGCAAGGAAATTGATACAAAGGTAGTGTGCTGATTAAATCCAATTTGTAGATTACTCAATGTTGTTAGGACTTTTTTAACTTTAGTTTTCCTAATAACTTAATCAGGAACTTCATAATTCTGTAACCAAAAACAAAATATTTGATTTTTTTTAAACTTGGCTGATACTGGTCTAAGGTAATGCTTAAAATTTTCCATTAATATTTTCTCATTTTAAAATCATGAACTATGTGTAACAGGATTGTACCTGAATCACCAAGGTGGCTTTTAACTTCTTGCAAAAAAGAAAGAGTCAAAGATGTACTGCAAAAGGCTGCAGAGTTTAATGGCAAACCTCTACCAGATAACACAGATGAATTGATTGAACAAGTACAAAAATTTATAATTCAGAAAGATCATATCAGATTTAAAGAATAATACTTTAAAATTAATCTGTGGATATTTATTTCTTAGAGCATGGCCGACAGAGGAGATGAACCTCCAAAGGTGAGAGTTAAGGATTTGTTTAGTACCAGCTACATGAGAAAAATAACTTTGGTGCTATATATTGTTTGGTTCTGTGAATGCCTCTTATACTTCGGACTCGTACTAAATCTTTCCACTATTGGCGGTGATATTTACATTAATTCTGTAATATCAGGTAATTATGAATATATGATTTTGTTTTACTTATTAATAATGAATGTGACAGTGTGAAAAACAGATTTGGTTTTCACTTTTAATAAATAAAAAATTCTCAGGTATATATTGTCAAATACATGTAAAGTTGTATTTAATATTTCAGTTGATTAATTTTATGGGTGTAGTTTTTATAACTGTTTTTTTGTTTTTATTTTCATAGATTTAGTGTCTCTGTTTTAAGCCTTTTTCTCTATTTCTCTTTCTCATTCACTTACTAAGTCAATAATAGTCAATCATGCATTCATCTTGTTTAATTTTTCATTGTATACGAGGTTTGTCTACCTAAATTGATGATTGGCATTTTAAGTTACCATACTATTCTAATCTTTCTCCAAAGATATTTTTTTTTCCTGCTTCCATCCTTTCCCTGTCAAAGATTCTGACTGTTTTTAGAGCCAAAAGTTGTGTTGATTAATGAGTAAGGCCCTTTGCTCCTATTCTACTTGAGCCTGAGTGCAAGTCTAGCTGTATCAATTAATTTAATACAAGTTATCCTATGTAAAATAAAAAAAGTTAAAGGTTTCTTATGATTTTTTCTTAATTGAAGAGGGAGTGAAATGTGATCGTGTCCGGTTATTAACCATGAACCCTGGATATCTCGAAGAAGAGAGAATAAAACGACTACTACTGTCTCCTATAACAGCCCCAAGCAGCTGAAGAAGACTCATGACTTAAAAAGTCGTTCACTGGGCGTAGCGAAAAAAAAAAAAAAAAATGTATTCTTAAGTGATAATAACACAGCACTAAACCGTAATATCTAATTAAAGTTTATTGATAATAAAAATCCATAGTCATATTACAGCCATAATAATGAATAACCATTGTGTTGTTTAATCCAAAAGTTTTATTTATCAATTGTCTATCAAATACGTGTGTATTGCTGAACCCTCCCTGTCTTGTTGTTTATTGTTTTAAGGAACCGAGCCTAGAATATTCAAATCAATCTCTTTGAAATTCATCTATAACAGATTTCTCAACTGAGGTTCACAGACACCTGGAGAATCCACTTAAATCATCCAAATTTTATTCAAATAACTCATGGAATAAAAATCTTTCATGTTGAAGAGTTTTTGTTCTTATTCTTCGATTACTAGTTATAAGACATAATGAGATAAAATGAATAGTGTCGGAATGGGTTCTGCAAGAGAATAAAATACACACTATATTTTAAATAGGTATTAGGTCTCATAAGTTCTCAACTAATTAATGATGAATTAATTCTCAACTAGATTGAAATCAAGCCAATTTAGTCATAATGCAGGAAAATATTGTAATTTATATTAAAAAGATTACATTATAAGTTGGTTTATCCATATTTTTTTTAAGATTGGTAATAACAGATTCTGGGTGTGAATCCGCACCTCTGATCTAGATGATATAGATCCATTTACTTAAGAGAATAGTTAACTATTTATTAAGATTAATCTTATTTAATTTAAAAATATTTTTACTTTAGCATGTGTTTGTAATTAACATTAGAGTTTTGTTTTCTATTTATTATTATTAATACAGTTTTATTGAAACAGGAATAGTTGAATTGCCTGCTGTTGCCTTGAGTATTATTTTGCTGCTCAAGCTCGGCAGAAGATGGCCACTGGCATTGGCCATGGCAGGTGCTGGTGCTGCGTGTCTCTTTTCAACCCTTTTCAATAAAGGTACTGTTCCTCGTGAAGTAATTTGCTTCTTTAACTTTAAATTTTATAAAACAAAAGCATTTTTGTATAAATAAATATTGAGTTTCTGCTTATTTGTCCCATGCGGTATATGCAATTTTTTATTTTTACCACTCAGCATGTCTTACAAAGCACGCGATATTAATAAGATGTCTATAAAAATATTAATTTTTGAAGTCACAATATAAGGCTTACTAATTTGAATACGGTGTTCAATGGCTAAGACTGATATGACATCACATATTCTGGGGATATTAAATGTCATTGTCTTATACACAGAAAATATAATTTCATTTGATTCACTTATTTGTTGTTTTTTTGTTTATGTATTTGAAATTTCATCTATGTGAAAAATTATGTATCCTTCATGGCCAATAAATGAATTCATATAAAAATTATTTCCACTAGTGAGAACATTATTCTGATATATAATTTTATTTTCCATCTCTCGATTAATAAATATCAATATTTTATAGATGATGTAGTCCATTTGGTACTGATAATGGCTGGTCGATTTCTAATCAGTTCACCAAATATTACTATACTAATATACACAGCTGAACTGTATCCAACGATAATAAGGAATCTCGGATTGGGTTCTGCAAATGTAGCTGCAGGCATTTCTCTCATGTTGATACCATATATCTGGATTATGGTAAGTACATTAATTTTTAGCTTTTTACAATATTTCATAAATGGAGAGGCACAATTAACTTTTTTCTGTAAACATAGTATATACAAATACAGACAATTAAATTGATCCTCCATATTGAATTTTTAGAAGTGTTAGTTAGCCATGTTGTTAGTGTTTAGAAGTGTTGTTTCAACCATTGATTATCTACACCACAACTTTATTTATTTATTTAAACATATAATATTCTGTCTCGATCTAAGATCTAAAACTATATACATTTTTAAATTTAATTATTTTTATTTGAACGATTGGTAATAACGATCCCAAGATATGAGGTTGTATTTATAAAAGTTATATATTTTTTTAAAAGAAAACATCCATCACAGATAAGTATCTATGTTTGATTTATTCTTTTCAAAATATACTTATAAAGAATAGTATGATGAAATAAAAATACTATATTTAGCTACTACTGTAGTATTTTTCAAGTGCACACAATGTTATTATATATAGTGTCTTCAAGGAATATATAAGCCCTTGTACTATAAAAATTTTTATTCTACTTTCAACGTTTTTCAACGATTTGATTAGCTCTTTTATCAAGTCATCAAAGATTTTATATCTACTAAAATGTATTTCTACATGTTAAAAAATAGAGGGAGAAGTTAGTACCGTAAGGGAATGACAAGAATCAATAAATGCGCTAACAAGAAGACAAGGAATATGTTTATTTTTTGTATTTGGTGTACTGCAAATGGTTCAATGAAATTATAATATAGAAATACATTTTAGCAGATCATTGATAATGAGCTAATCAGCTCGAAACGTCATTGAAAGTAGAATAAAAAAATGTATAGCATAAGGGCTTATATATTCCTTGAAGATACCATATATAAAAAATTAATATGATGTTCCTTATTGCACTCAAAATTTCAATATTCCACTTATTGGTGAAGGAGCATGCTTCAATTTCCGATAGCTGGTGCTTTGGGGATTTAATCTGTCTTGACCTGCCTCCTTCCCCTTTTTTCGGCTCTTAGTTGTTCACTTGTGTTAAAAAAACTTATTTTTTGCATCTCTAAAATTTTGTCATTGTATTATTATGCATCTAAAATTCTCCTGTTACTCAAAAAACTGGCTCTCTGGGCAAAAGTTCATCCGTCCCTTTGCAAATCAGGACCTATTGAAGAACTTTTTAATATTACAACTAAAATTTCAATCTTTTTTATTTCTAGGCTGGAGTTGATGAGAATTTACCAATGATTGTTATTGGACTTGGTGGCGTTTTAGGAGGTTTGGCTACTTTACTTCTTCCAGAGACAGCAGGCTTAACTGAGAGTTTAGAAAAAAGTTAGGAAGTCTCTTCTGAAATAGGAAGTGTTATTGAAATCGATCCTTACACGGAGGACTGTAAAAATAACAGTCTGAAATATCATTTTCGGGTTGTTTATTATCATTATGTCCAAACAATGGTGATCGATTTCTAACACCTGATCAATTATACGAACTTTGCTCAGCAGTTCTTAACAATTATTCCTTATTATCAAAGTTATCATTATAAAATCAACAAAAATAATATAAAACTCATATCTTGGTGAAATAGCTAAATGGCCGCCGAAAATCATATATTTTCTTCCTGTTCTCCTGCCATTCCCTAGCTGGTTGTACATTCTTTCCGAAAATTGGTACATTTTCAAAACGCCGTGGGATGAAGGACAATTTGTTAAAAATCGGGACTGTCCCACCAAACTTGGGACCTCTGGTTACCTTAGTTTACTATCTACTATTTTTTAGTTGATTTGATTTAAATTTGGAGATTGATTATTTTGATTACTTATGATTTACTAACAGTACCAATTCTGTAATTTTATAAATAAAAAATAAATAATCAAAATTATAACATATCAAATGCATATTATAGACTAATTGTTACTGTTAGATTGGATTTTAAGACTTAATTTTACATCGTGGTTATAGATTTGATTTTCTATTGAATTTTATTAAATATTTACTATTCTAAATTAACCTCATGTTGAGTTAATGCAATTTTATTGATTTGGTTTTTAAGATAAAATATTAGCAGTTGATAAAAAATGAACAAGTACTGAACATTGCTTCTCCTATAAATTTAGAAAAACTGCTACTAGCTCAAAATTATTTAAAGTAAGAGGAATTTTATCCTTGAGGATATTTCTATTTATTTTTATGTTATAACTTGCTTAAGTAATTCATCTGTTAATTTTTATTCAGGATTTTCATTAATTATAGATACTCAAATAATACTTATACTCCTTCAAGGATATCTAAGTGCATCTAACTATATCGTAAAAGAAACTTAAAAAATATATAAATATAGTCAGTTATAGTTTTATAATACTTTTTTAAGTTGCCAAGTTTTAAGGTATAATTATGTATTATTTTTTAAAAATATTTTTATATCAATGACTGATGTATAAATGCAAAATAAATGATAAAAACATTTCAAGCTTTATTTTTTTAAACTAAAACACATCAATTGTGTGTTTTCCTGAACATTTTTTTAAGAAAGCAATAGTATTTTTGTCAAATCTAGAGCATTAGTTTTAAAGAAAATTAAATGTTTTGAATTGATTATATGTAGTCTACTTCCTGTTCAATTTAGCCCAAGAAAATGTAACATGAACATCACAGATAGAGGGGTTCATGTTGGGATGAAACATATAATACCAGAATATATGGATGATAAATAGTTGTCCTTTGGAGCAATCAAGAGGATATTAAGAGACTTGCTAGGACTCTGATAAGTGAAGCAGAGATAATCAGCCTATAAGTAAAGGAAAGTAAAATAAAATTCAGCTGGAAAAAACACACCCATTCGCAAAAGTTGACAAATTCATATAAATGGGCTTCATTAAACATCAATAAATTATCAACTTACAGAGATATACAAGCACCGGCAGAACTTCTCTCTTAAGAGTACTGAGATTCCGAAAAATCTATAGAAATTTCTAATTAATAGTGTACAATATGATAAAGAAAGTTCTCTTTAATGCAAGAGTATTTGATATTTGAAAGAAAAGTTCTCTGCATGATAAAGCAATCTGGGATCAGAAACTCAATCCACGATGGAGAAGGCCCAATAATCAATAAGGACCATGACTGGCGAGAAACTGGTCATTCAGATCTTAAGAAGAAGTAGAAAATAAATTTTATTGTGGGACTAAGTTCACTTAAAATAACTGCAATGTATAATTTAATGACAATTGCCTGGCATTAGAAATAAATTAAATTTTTCACTATTGTTTAACAACTTACAAACCACCAGCTGAAATAAGACTTAAGTTTAAGATTTAAGATCATGCTAGTCAATCTTGCAAAAAATATTTGTAATTCTTGCTTTGTTCAATTTTATTTCATTCCAGGTATGGGATATCATTAAAAAATTAATTTGTTTTGTTTTTTCTCAATCATTGTTATCACATAAAAATATTAATATAAAAAACTTTAATAAAAACAGTGACTCCAATACATATCAAGAGTTACGTCATATGAAATATTTTCATATAGAAAAAGAAAGAAGAAGAAAAATAAATTTTATTCTGGGACAGTAAATCTTCTTAGAATAACTACAATGTACAATGGAATGACAATTGGCTGGCATTAGAAATACTGCTAACTAGAACTAAAATAAAAATAAAGAAAAGCCACTGGTAGACATATGAAATTATAGATAAATTCAGATGTGAGAGTTCACATATTTGTGTACACATAAACAATGTGGATGACATATAATTATCTGTAAGATAACACTAAATTCAACTGACAGGTCTGAAAAACATGAACATTATTTTACATATATTCGGAAGATTGATTGCTGAGGAGATGAATAGATAAATGAGGTCAAGCATGAAGATTTGCATATGGGGGTTGATAGGGAATTCCAAAACAAGGTAGCACATATGACAAAGGATTTTTTAAAGAAAACAGTTCTATAAGAAAGAATAAATAGATTTGAGGGCTGTGGTATTGTGTTGAACGAATGTACAGAGGAACAAGGAGTAAACAAATTGAGAAGTTAAGAGGGTTTTTTGGTTGAAAATGTTCGAAAAAGGAATACACCTAGGGAGTATTGCCGTCTGTAGACTGGACAGAGCCACTTCAATTCAGTATACCAACTGGAGATGTTCTAGCACCTGGGGACTCCAAAAATAAATCTAATGAAACAATTCAGTAGTATCTTATGATAGAAAATTAAGATTGGCGGGGCATGCAGCTTGAATCAATCCAACAGGACACCTTTATACAACACTGAACGCCATAATTGTTGGCAAGAAACCACATGGAAAGACAAAAACCAGAAGGGTAGATAGAAACAACTAAGATACTCCAGTCTGCCAATTGGAAATCAGTAACCCTTAATGGACAAAGATGGAAAAGGGTTATTTATATGGCCAGAGATCTACAAAGTTTGTATATCCAACTAAAAAAAATAATTAAATAAAGTAGTGCATCTTAATTTTGAATTGCTAGGCACCATAAGCTCTTAACTAATGAACTACCCTTATCAGTTTGATATATTAACATCCTACTAAATGTAATCTAGGACGAATCCTCTCTTACACAGAATTTCTTCCTCATCTTATTTCTTTCTTATCTTATTTCCATTGAGGGCAGATTTATTATTATTGTTTTTTTTTAAATAGAAAACAACTTTATTCTGGGACATAGTTCCTTTAGAACAACAAAATAGTATAAAATTAAAAGATTACCTCTGACCTAAATAAACAAAATAACAAAAAAGAAAACATTAGTTAAACAAGCTATATACAAAACAAATAAGCCTATATACAACACACTTAAAACTATGTACAGTGGTAAAAATATATAATTATACACTTTTAAGAAAATATATAGAAAATACATTAAGTTCTTCTGTAAAATAAGTTCTGAGTTTCTGCTAACAAAGGAAAGCCGAACCTGATAATATAAAATGTCAGAGTATTTAAATAATGATTACTATGTAAATATATCATTATCTTATTGTAACTATAGTTAAAAATCTGGTGCAACACACAACTTCCACTTACCGCTCAACTTTGAATAGAAATTATTTTCTGGCCATGTTGGGCTATTATAAAATTTTTGAATTGCATTTTTAACTGAGCTAAATCTAAAAGATAGAAGCTAACAAATCATAAATACTATTAAAATAACAGAAGTCATATTTATTATATCAACGGTGCATTATGGATTGTATGATTCGTTGATTATGAATTGTATTACTATTAGTTATTAAACTGTTATTTTCCATTGTAAAGTTTATTAAAACCGAATTAAGAGATTTGCATTGTCTGTCATAGACAGGTCAAAAGTTGCTACACTAATTGTAAGTAGATTCTGTTGGAATATCGCAAAGAGGAAATTTATCAAATTATTCACTAATTTAATTTTCTAAAAGGCAAGATAATGATTTTTTGGAATAAATGGACGATAGATACCTAATTGTATAATTATAATGTCAGATCTAGAGTTGTTAAACTACAATAAATATTTTTAAGGTTATAAACGTATCCATGAAATAGTATCTTTAACAATGTAATTGCTAATATATAATATTAGGGGAAATAAGAATCCGTGGATTTTAAATACTTTTTCAAACTTTAAAAAATTTAGAAGTTTACATTTACTTGAAAACATGTTATTATTTACATTTTTTTGCCACTCTTCATTACCTTCTACAACTTTCTATATTAGATATTGTTTTTTTCTAAAATTCTCTGCTTTCCAATGATATATTGTACGTATAGCTTTTGACCAGTATTTCCGGAGATTCATTTTCGATCTGGATAAGTATTTTTATTTTTGTCTAATTTATTTATTTATTAAATTCTTCCAAAAGTTATATTTAGCATTTTTCCATAACTCATAACAATGATAAAGTTATTATTTAAAATAAATCAAATTAAAGGTACTTTAGAGAAAGATATGATAATGTTGGGATTACAACATTAAAATTGCTTTTTAGCATGTTTAAGGTGTACCTATTTTGAGTTCTTACAATACATAAATAGTCTCTAGTAATAAGGAAACTAGTAACAAATATTTAGGTGCACACCAAAAAATGTTTTGATGTATGGTCTATAAGATGCAAGAGTACTAAGATTAGGTTGAATTTATAGTTAATTTTTATTATTAGAAATTTGTTACTTTTAAAATTGTTATTAATACGGAATATCTCTTTGTAAATGTTTAGTACAAATGACAAGCTGGATAATTAATCAGAATGTAGTGATATAAATCCAAAAGCTTTCATACATAATAAATAAGACAAAAATATATATAAGGATGGAAAAGTGAAAAAGTTTTGCTACAAGGTTTAAGAAAGAATTTATAAGTCATAAATTAAGTAATTAATTTATTTAGTTTCAATCATTGCTGTAACTGTAAATTATTTTGTCCATTATAAGGAAACAAACAATGATGAATGTACAAGCAGAGCTTTTATTACTAATTCTGATGTTTCTGCAGATGCTGATGATTCTGTGCGAAAGAATAAGCAACAAATAGTGTGGTCACACACTGCCCACACTATTATTCACTGTGTTCATTGTGTGACTAGGCTATTGATTACTTTTCAACCAGATTTCTGTATTTTTCCTCAGGAAGCCCAAGTCAACTATTTTAGAAATCATATACATTGTATTTACAAAATATATGTATTCAAAGTAAGCAATGAAAACCTCTTTACTTCATTAGTCTTTTTTAACCACATAAAGTTTTTTGGCATATACAAAGAAAGATTTGATACTGCATAGGTATCTCTAATCTCTAAATAAGTAAGAATTGAACTATCTAGTAAAACATATCGGCACCTAAGCATTACTTCATTTATTGTTTAAAAACTTATTTTTTCTCTTGTAAAATGTATCAAAATGGAGATTAAGGTTTTCATTGCCTCTCATAAATAAATACATACTGTTTTTCAAACAGAATAAATGAAAACTTTATAATATATATTTAAAAAAATATTTATTATATATTCTGAAGAATGGTATTATGGTATAACATATGAGAACTTCATGGCTCTAATAGGATCATTGTTAATTCAAATTATTTTGGTAAAATCACCAATCATAACAAATATACTACTGTTTCAATAAAAGCACCATTAATGTAATAGAATAACATGAAATTCTATAAAATGTTAACATATTTAGAGTAGTTTCTTCATAAATGTTTAACATTTGAACTGTGACATGATTCTACTCTATGCCATAATAACATATTAAGTTTCATTGAAAGCAACAAAGTATTCAACAATATGCTTAACTTAAAAACAAAAGTAACCATTGACATTACATTCAACTTTAAATACCAACTGATAGTTGATCAAACTTGATTCTTTATTTTACCATAAGTTGACTATATATTTTGTGGCTTACTA